TATATATATATATATATATATATATATATATATATATATATATATATATATATATATATATAATGCAAATGGCCAAATTAATGAACCCTGACAACTTTCAGGGGTGACTCGGTTCCCCTTCACAGTGTTCGGTTCACCACGCAAAGGCCCATTTCATGCCATCGCATCTCATTTAATTCTATAGCATGATGAATGATGGATGTTGGATGATGATGATGACGCCATCGTTAGGCGTGTTGGGCTTATGTGCGCGTCCACTCAACTTCCACGGAAAGACGTAACGGAAAGCCGAGAAGCCCTTTTAAGTTGAGGTCGACGTTTGCTCTAAGCCCATCTGACAGCTTTGAGATTCACATAGTCGGCCACGTACGGCCGCGATCCGTCGAGTCGAGTACTCTCTTCTATAAATGAGTAACGGCTTTAAAAGGAGACGAGCTTCAACAGCGCGAAGTTGGGGCGGGAAAGGAGGAGGAGAATAGTGATGAGTAAAGGAGTGCTGATGTCGTGTCTTGGCGGCGGCGAGGGCTTTGCCTCACGGAGCCTCTCGCCGAGGCCGCACTACCCTTCGATGCCCAGGTATCCCAAGCGGAAGCCGACGGCGGCCGGGAAGGAGGAGAGCGGTGAGGCGGATCTGGAGGCGACGTCGAAATCGGTGGCCGAAGAGAAGCGGGTGGCGCTGTTTTCAGTCGTTGGGATGACGTGCGCCGCGTGTGCTGGGTCGGTGGAGAAGGCGATCAAGCGGCTGCCTGGGATCCACGACGCCGCCGTCGATGTGCTGAACGATCGGGCCCAAGTCATCTTCTATCCCACTTTCGTTTCGGTGAGCAATCTGTTTCTCCTACTATTTCCCCTTTTTTTCTCTTGATATTTCTTTGATGATAAGGGCTTGAGGAAGGGTTATTTGATTTGTCATGCTATATGAGATCAGCCGGTTGTGATCGTTGTTTCCTTGCTTTTTCCTGTGAATTTGCATTTCATTTGTTATTAATTCCTCGGGTAATTGCTGGATGTTTAAGTTAGGTGTTGCCATTGATGGATTCTTCGCACGAATCATAGGGTTGTTTCTGAACCAGACTTATATTGTGATCGTGATGTACCCAAGCACAAATAATGTTTGGTGCCAAACCACATACATGACCTAAAAGTTACAAACTGGGTCAATCCGACTCCACAATGACAGATTCTCTGTTTCAGTTGTTTAGCCCTCATATCTCTTTTGTGTAAATGAGTCATATGAAGGAGCTTTAAGGCCTTGATGCATCACCAATTGAATAATTGGCAAGTTTGTGTTATGTACAGAAGAGGATCAGTTTTGTTCATTTGATGCGCATGTTATAGATGATATAAAAAAAGCTCTGTATTTTAGATGAGAGTTTCTGGAATTTACAGATCTGGAAAAACTTGAGATAGGGAAAGAACCAACCAGTCAGTAGGCTCTCCAAGTTGTCCATTTGAAGTTGAAGAAGGTATTTTACAATCCTCTTTATAATTTGAAATCCTGTTTGTAGGCTTACAGGAATGCTAAGTTTAGTAAAAAGCAAAATAGGTCAGCAGTAAACTTCAAAAGGAGTGGGAGTTTATAGGTCAAGGCTGAGCTCAGGAAGCTAAAATCCATCATAGAAAGGGATGAATAGTGGCTCATTTATTTAGTTTGAGAGTAAACTGAGTTTTGAGGTGTAAATAGTTGTTACTTGTAGTTGGAGCATGAAAGCCAATGGAACTTTTTGGATGGTTGCATTCGAAAGATAAGGTCCTGGTGAGGGCCAGATGGTTACTTCCGATTACATATATTATGCTTACCACAGTGTACATCTCTTGGTTACAATAGGAAAAAAGGTATCGTGTGTTAAGGACCGTGATAAAAGATACTGAATTGTGAGAGACACTTCTATGAGGCTTGTTTATGCAATCTTTTAGCTCTGCATAGAAAACAAAAACTCATGAAAATATTGAATTCTTGGATTGAGGATTGGATAAGAATGGTTGAACTCACAGTCTGAATAAGTTTAGAATATCATGGAAATCTAAGCTAATGTTAGATTGATAATGTAAGGGAATGATTGTGAATTTATATATGATTGGATCTACTCCTATGCATATATGAATTTATTTTGAAATAAAGGTTAAATATTTTTCTGGTATAAATTTATACAGCTTGTAGGCATGAAAGCAACACCCCATAATTGAGTTCAGCTGGTGGTTTGTGGAGTCATCAAATAATGATATGTTTGATGACCAACTCTTTTGGTAGCTCGAATTGTAACTCAACAATCAATAGGATTCCTAATTGTCTGTCATATTTCTCTTTAGGTTTAATGGCCTCATCGCCTAAAAAATAACTTCGCCCACCGTGGGGCTCGAACCCACGACCACAAGGTTAAGAGCCTTGCGCTCTACCGACTGAGCTAGACGGGCTTGAGTTCAGCTGGTGATTTGTGGAGTCATCAAATAATGATATGTTTAATGACCAAGTAGCTCGAATTGTAACTCAACAATCAATAGGATTCCTAATTGTCTGTCATATTGCTCGTTAGGTTTAATGGCCTCATCGCCTAAAAAATAACTTCGCCCACCGTGGGGCTCGAACCCACGACCACAAGGTTAAGAGCCTTGCGCTCTACCAACTGAGCTAGACGGGCTTATATCTTTTTTTCATTGATAACTTATTTCTAGGTTTGATACTACTATGTATGAGTTTCCTGGCACCACTTATTCTATCGATATCACTGAATTAAAAGTCTTCTCTGTTCATATTAAAAACTACGTAAGGGCCAAGGAGAAGTTAACATTATAGTTGACATAGCATAGTTGTTGGAAAATCAACTTCAGTTGAACTTTTTTTGTTTCTTTAAATAACTCTATTGACAAGATAACACCATTGACAGATAAATAGCAGCACATATTAGATGATTTTAATTCAACCTTCACATGCCTCATATAGACAGTTTAATAAATAACATGTGCAGTGCTAGTGAAGCCTTGTCTTCTTCCATACCGATTGCAAGCTCAATTTTCCTTACTGGCATGGGTGCGCTCATACTGCAGGAGTACACAATCAGGGAAACCATAGAAGATGTTGGTTTTGGGGCTGCACTGATTAAAGTCGAGATGAAAGAAAAATCAGCTCTTACACACGGACTGCACATAAAAGGAACGACTTCTTCCTCAAGTAACATTGAATATGTTTTGCAAGCTATTCCTAGTGTACAGAAAACTTCAGTGGTCTTGGCAACCAAAGAAGCAGAAGTTTTCCATGATCCTAGGTTTGTGAGTGCCGACCAACTCAATAAGGAAGTTGAAGATACTGGTTGCGGATCTATATTTGTTACCACAGGGGAAGATATGAACAGAATAGAACTCAAAGTTGATGGGACATTCTCTATTTCTTTGGTCACGAGTTCTCTTCAATCACTTCCCGGAGTAGATGCTATAGACATTGATCCTGCGCTTCATAAAATTACCATATCTTACAAGCCAGATCAGACAGGTCCACGGAATTTCATTGAAATGATCGAATCAATTGGGTCTGGACATTTGAAGGCATCAATATATCCACAAGTTAGGAGAAAGGAACTTCACAGGTATGACGAGATAAAGCAGTATTATCGATCCTTTCTTTGGAGTTTAGTTTTCACCATCCCGGTGTTTCTCACGTCAATGGTGTTCACGTACATCCCTGTTTTTAAACAAGTTCTGGATGAGAGATTAGTGAACAAGTTGAGCATTGGAGAGCTTTTGAGATGGATTTTATCCACTCCTGTTCAATTTATAATTGGTCGAAGATTTTACGTTGGTTCATATAAAGCATTGCGACATGGATCTGCTAATATGGATGTGTTGATTGCTCTCGGAACCAATGCAGCATACTTCTATTCACTCTACTCCGTGCTGAGAGCCGCAACTTCAGCAACCTTTATGGCAACTGATTTTTTTGAGACTAGTTCCATGCTTATATCATTTATCCTTCTGGGAAAGTATCTCGAAATTTTGGCTAAAGGGAAGACATCAATGGCCATTGCTAAGCTCATGGATTTGACACCTGAAAACGCAATATTACTGAGCTATGACAATGAAGGAAATGTGGTAAATGAAAGAGAGATAGATAGCCGGTTAATTCAAAAAGATGATGTCATTAAAGTGATGCCTGGTGGGAAGGTAGCTTCAGATGGATTTGTTTTATGGGGTCAGAGCCATGTCAATGAAAGCATGATAACTGGGGAATCAAAGCCTGTTGCAAAGAGGAAGGGGGATACTGTCATAGGTGGTACCGTCAATGAAAATGGTGTATTGCATGTCCGTGCCACCAATGTTGGATCAGAAAGTGCACTTTCACAAATTGTTCGTCTTATCGAATCAGCTCAAATGGCTAAAGCGCCCGTTCAGAAGTTTGCTGATCGCATCTCTAAATATTTCGTTCCTCTGGCAAGTTATTATGCATTTTCTTCTTCTATTCTTTTACCATTAGTTGAATATTCTAGTAATTAACTCGCTTTTAATAATCCTTATGATTGTTGTTCAGAAGGTACATGTTGTTTCTAATGAAATGACTAAATATACCATCTATCATAACCTGTTTTGCATCTGCAGGTTATTGTTCTTGCAACATTCACTTGGCTCATATGGTTCTTAGCGGGAAAGTTCAACTCCTACCCAAAATCCTGGATACCATCTTCGATGGATAGCTTTCAACTGGCTCTTCAATTTGGAATATCTGTGATGGTGATAGCATGTCCATGCGCTCTTGGCCTTGCGACTCCCACTGCCGTCATGGTTGGAACAGGGGTAGGTGCATCTCAGGGTGTGCTGATCAAAGGGGGACAAGCGCTGGAAAGTGCGCACAAGGTACGTCATATAATCCATTCTCTTCCCGTGTTTGTGACTATACCTGCCAATCACGAATGTTTATATAGCATCTGTAGATATTCAATGCAACTGGTGATTGGTTTCTGACATTTCGTGGTAGAACATCTATGGCATAACGAGAACAAATGAATGTGTGTCCTTGCCTCATCCTATCAAAGTGATCGATATGGTGCTTCCACTAGAGAACCGTCGTAGCTTCACAGCATATCTTTGTTGTTCCATTGACTTGCTTGTGTAGTGGAGCTAGCTTTCAACCCCAATTACATGTTGCAACATGAACTTTCATGGATCTGGGAATTCCATGAAACTTGGATAGAAGCTTTTGCGAGGTTTTTGCCCTCACAAAAACTTCACAGCATATCTTTGTGTTCACAACATATTGCAACATGAGCATCTCTAGTAACTGAATAGAAGCTTGGAGAGTAATCTTCCATCGCACTGCAACTACTCTTCTGTGAGGTTTTTGCCCTTTCCTTTCCTTTGGGTCTTTTGTCTCTTTGGAATCTATCATTACCCTGCGATCACCTCTCTGAGTATGCTATTGCATTTTTTTTGTACCCACGTTTCCTTTTTAAGTCTCTCTTAGCTTTATTATTGCGTCTCTTCGTCGCACTGAAACACGAATTATGGTCTGTTTCGTAAAGAACCCAATACAAGGTGTACAACTTTTAGGGGCATCTAAAAGACTAACTACGGTGGTTGTTGTGATGGTTATGTATTTGGATTGCAGTGATTGATAATGTAGCTTCGGAAGTAGAAAACCTTCAACGATGACACGGTGAAAGAGAGATTTGATTTGCAACGATGGATGGATCAGAGATCTATAACTAAGAAAATAGTGTGATCAGATCCTTAAGGTAGAAAATTCAATTACGATGAGAAAGAAAGCCATACGAAAAAGAAGGACAAATATACGTATAACCTTTTCACTCACTCCGTTTGGAGCTGAGATTTCTGGAACTTTATTTTCTGTGAACATTTTAGCTACTTTCAGTAGTTCATCCTCATGAGTAAATTGTTAGAAGCATCTGGCATCTGGCATCTGCAAGAATTTCATTTGAAGGATTTTTTGCAGCAAAATCTAAGCTTATCTACTGTTTCTAGAAATAATCATGTTATACATTTGATGATATCGCCACTACAGTTTTTCGAGTTTGTGAATTTTTGAAAGTATTATTATATATAACAAAATCTATTTGTAGGTGAACTGTGTTGTGTTTGACAAGACGGGCACACTTACTACCGGAAAGCCTGTTGTTGTCAGCACACGGCTACTGAAGAACATGGTGCTCCGTGACTTCTACGAGTACGTGGCAGCTGCTGAGGTAAAACCTCGTCCTCTATATGTTAAAGGTAATGCTAGCATAAACTTTAGTGGATCATATGCCGCATTTTGGTAAGAGTGTTTTTTATTGGAAGCCATTTAAGCGATGTCTCTCAGTAGATTTCCTTTATGACAATCCATATTTAGTGACAAAACTTTGGTCGACGTCTTAAAAGAGTCTGCCAACCCTCGATAGGTTAACAGTGAGCACCCCTTGGCAAAGGCCATAGTTCAATATGCCAACAAGTTCGGCAGAGACGAAGTGAACCACGTTTGGCCTGAAGCACAAGACTTCACTGCAATCACAGGCCATGGTGTCAAAGCCTCGGTTGGGAACAAACAAGTCATTGTCGGGAACAAGAACTTGATGGTGGAATCAGGCATCGACATCCCTGCCGAAGCCTCTGAGATCCTTGCAGAAACTGAGAGAATGGCACAAACAGGAATAATCGCCTCCATCGATCGTGAAATCACTGGAATAATCGCAATATCCGATCCACTGAAACCTGGTGCTCGAGAGGTTATCTCCCTTCTTAGCTCCATGAAGGTGAAAAGCATCATGGTAACAGGAGACAACTGGGGTACCGCAAATGCGATCGCAAAAGAGGTCGGAATAGACACTGTTATGGCAGAAGCAAAGCCAGATCAAAAGGCCGAGAAAGTAAAGCAACTTCAGGTACTTACCACCATATAAGTGCACACTATTCTTTCTTTAACGATCATAGAGTTGTATGTATGTATGCATGTAGATTCCTACACCGTCATTCAGGTTTCTCACCTATTTGGAAGAAGGTTGTTCATCTTTCATAGATCTGCATTCATAAAATATTTGATTTTTTTCATGTGCAGATGTCTGGTTTTACAGTGGCAATGATTGGGGATGGAATTAATGACTCACCAGCACTTGTGTCTGCTGATGTGGGGATGGCCATAGGTGCTGGCACCGACATCGCAATCGAAGCCGCTGACATTGTTCTTATGAAGAGCAACCTGGAGGATGTAATAACTGCCATTGATCTCTCCCGGAAAACCTTCTTTCGGATCAGTACGAACTACGTGTGGGCACTCGGTTATAACATCGTCGGCATACCGATCGCTGCCGGAGTTCTTTTCCCGTTCACTGGATTTCGGCTACCGCCATGGGTTGCTGGTGCTGCGATGGCAGCTTCTTCGGTCAGCGTCGTCTGTTGCTCTCTCCTGTTGAGGAATTATAGAAGGCCCACAAAGTTGGACACACTTGTAATGAGCAAAGTAGTGGTCGATTGAAATATGCTCAAGTGATTTTAGTTTCCAGATAAGTTCACCATAATGTAATTACAAGTCTTCATTCAAGTATTTGTCTGTGTGCAAATCATCATTAGTGATCAAAAATTAACTTCGCCTTCAGGTACAGTGAACAGAGCGGCACAGGAGGAGGAGCGGAACTGCCTACGCTACGCTTGTACTTTCCTCGCCTCAACTAAGCTGCGTCCAGGTGCTTTCCTTAGCCCTCTTCTAACCATCATGCTTCTTACACTCTCCACGTCTTCCCACCTCCCAACTGCAGCGTAAATGTTCCCCAGCAGCACATAGTTCCCCGTGTTCCCTGGCTCAATCTCAAACAACCGTTTCGCAGCTAATTCCCCCAACTCCACGTTCTCATGGATACCACAAGCTCCGAGGAGAGCGCCCCACACGGCATGGTTGGGCTCAAACGGCATCCCGGCGATCAACTCGTATGCTTCCCGCAGCCGCCCTGCTCGGCCTAGAAGATCGACGACACAAGCGTAGTGATCCGCGTTCGGTTTCACGCCATGGGCGTTCGACATTTTATCGAACAGCTGCAACCCCTCGTCCACCAACCCGGCATGGCTGCAAGAGTAAAACATGGAAGTAAATGTAACCTCGCTCGGTGCCACCCCCGACTCCACCATCCGGTCGAAGAGCCAAATGGCGGTCTTGGCGTGGCCGTGCATTCCGTAGCCGGCGATGATCGCGCTCCAAGACACCAAGTCCTTCACCTGTAGCCCACCGAAGAGTTGCCAAGCCACGTCCAGTTTGCCAGCCTTTCCATATACGTCGATCAAGCCGGTCATGACCTCCACACTTGCTGTGAAACCCATTCCGATCAAGCAACCATGCAGGTTGTCCGCTTGTTTCAAGTCTGCTGACTCTGCGTAAGCCGGAAGGAGGCTCAAAACCGTAGCAAAATCCGGGCGGACTGCTTCTGCCAGCATTTGCCTGTAGTACTTGATAGCATCCTCTGCTTGACGATTCCTCGAACACCCTGAAATAACCGCATTCCACGTAGCCGTCCTTCTCGAACCACTCGAGAAGACCCTCAAGTACAAGTCCGTGCTGCTGCATTTTGCGTACATGTCGATGAGAGTGGTCTCCACGATGATATCCGATTCGAGGTGGAGCCTAATGCATGACCCGTGGACGCACTTGCCATGGGCGAGCGACGGCAAAGCGGAGCAAGCAGAGAGCAAAGAGACCATCGTCACCGGGTTGGGTCTCACCCCCACCGACTGCATCTGACGAGAAAGAGCAAGAGCTTCGCTTTCGCGTCCGTGCAAGGCATACGCCCCTATCATCGCGGTCCACGCGACGACATCCCTCTCGCACTGTCCGCCGTCGAACACCCTTCTCGCCTCCTCCAAGCACCCACATTTTGCATACATGTCGATTAACGAATTCCGAACCCTAGAGTCCGCATCGAACCCTCCCTCGTCCACCAACTTTTGGACGAACCTCCCTCTCCGCAGATCCTTCAGATGAGCACAAGCGGGCAGCACAGACACTACGGTAGCCTCGTCGATCCCCACGCCAGCATCCATCATGCGGTCGAACACCGCCAATGCCTCCCGGGCAAACCCATTACGGCAGCATCCTGCGATCACCGTATTCCAAGAGACGATGCTCCGAGCGGTCATCAGATCGAACACCTTCGTCGCGGCGTTCGTGTCCCCGCAACTCATGTACATGGCGATAAGACAGTTCTGCACGTACTCGTCCGCGCCGAACCCGGAAGCCAGAGACTTGCCGTGCACCTGCGCACCCAACCGGCGCAGCGAGAGGTCGGCGCAGGCCTTGAGCGCGAAGGGGTACGTGAGGTAATCGGGGGAAAGGCCGGAGAAGACCATGCGGGCGAAGAGGCGGAGGGCGTCGAGGGGGAGGCCGGACTGGGCGTGGCCGCGGATGAGGGCGTTCCAGAGGAAAGGAGTCCGGCGGGAGATTCGGTCGAACAGTTGGCGCGCGCGGGAGGGTTGGCCGGAGAGAGAGTACAGAACGACGAGCTTGGAGAGGAGGAGGCCACGGCGAGGCGCGGAGGAGAGGACGCCGGAGGAGATGAGGAAAGCGTGGAGCTGGGCGCCCAGGCGGGAGGATCTGGAGCGGATGAGGGATTGGAGGAGGGGGAGGCATTGGTTTGTCGATGGGTGTTTGAAGAATGACCCATACATCCAAATCGCTCTCTCTTCTTCTATTACAAGGCGCTTTGTTTGTGGAATATCTTTACGATTACCAAAGGCCGAAAAGCCAAACAGGTGCAACCCAAAGGTGCACACAAGACTTCTCAGGTGTGTCAAAGATGGCAAGTGGAAAGAGTCCTCTCTTCTAACCGCATCACAGTTTTGTAGGTATTATTTGGTCACACCACACCACACCTCCTTTTCTTAACAATATGCTCTTAATTATGTGTCAAATAAGTGTTTTAGTATGATTCCTTTTAATCATAAACTAATACATGTAATAATAAAGGATGAAGATGGGATTTGAATCTATAATCTTAATTTTCAAAGGGGTAGGTTTATTATTTAAAAATTTTAATATTTTTAATAATAAATAAATATTTAAAAAAATTAAAAAAAATATGATAATAAATAATAATCTTCTTAATGATTATTAAAAATATTTATTTCCTATTTTTGGGAAGGACAACGGATAGGAACGCCGAGAGAACGAGTGATATCGTCCCGTACCCATCAACTGTTCGACGAAAAGTGTGATCGAACACGACCACTCCTGACACGGTCCGGTTAGATCTCTTGATTGCTACCCGCAGGCACCGCAAGGGGACCGCATCCCGTTCGTCTTAAGATGCATTATTAAGCTTCTTTCTCTACCGACTCAAGAGACCAAGCAGGCAAAGCATCGAACACCTTGTCGATCGCGACAAACATGCCACTCGGCGGAACTCGAATGGCCAAAACAAAGCCCACGCCTCGCTCGGCGCGCCTCGTCGCGTTGTTCACTGCACCACCCTCCACTTCCGAGTAGTAGGCAGCAGAACACCTCGCGAAGCCACAGCTCGTCGTCTTATCGTTCTATATTAGCCACCACAAGATGCATGGCTCGACGTGTCGTCTTCTCCGACTAACTCCACCAAACCACAGCCTTCGACGTCCGGACGTGTCGTCGCCTCCGCCTCGTGTGATCTGTCGACCTTGACGTATGAAGGTAGATCATCTTCTTTTATGAGTACATCAAATGTACATAAAGAGTTCCGAAGACATGCTGTGGCTCTCTCAGAAATAATAATAATAATTCACATTCTTTGATCATAATAATAATTCACATAACGTGACTCTCTCATTTCATATACTGATTGTTAGTGAATAGTTACATCGTGGTCGATGTGTCAACATGGTTCGATCCGATTCCAGATGTGCAAGGCCGCCCGCGTGGATGCTCGGGTGGTGAGGGTGAGCGCCGGATCGAGTTCAAGCCTCGTCCCTCGAGTGCAGTCTTCTCTCTTAACAAGTGGCATGCTTCTCCGTCGTCGAGCTCCTGCACACAGGTTGAGATCGGGAGGGAGATTTCATGACCCGACTCCTCCGAAGCTTAAGTCAGCTTTTGGTGGAATGAGATAGAGTTGAGTATTCGAAGTGCCTGCTTCTCCTGATTAAGGAGGGTTAGCTTTTATACCTACGGGGATGAGTTGGTCGTACAGGGTCAATTCACTGTGGCCGGCTCCTCGGGCAGTAGTCGACTTAAGCTTTTGTACGAGCGCCGATCGACCTGCACGGATCGGTGCCGCCTTGATCTTTTCGGGATGGTTGTACCATGATAATAACGTTCATACGGAGGGGGCGACAAGCGGCTACCTGCCACGTGTGTGTTACGTGCCATATTGTACTTGAGGTTCCACGTTTGCATCATCATGTCTGCTTGCCTGGGTCCACGTGGGCGATGACAAAACATGCCCTGATAAAAAAAGACACTAAAAAGTGTAGATAGAATATGTTATGGTGAATTTTTGCAAAGAAAATTATCTCATTTTGAGCTTTTGCCTCTTTCATTTTCAGAATTTTCAAACAGCATTTATTTCTTTTAATATCTAAAATATTGTTTTGTATGTGTCAACCCCATCTAATTATAATACTTTTCACTATTACTATTTTCAGCAATACTGGAAAAATACTATAATGTAATAAAAAAAAATATAACATAGTCTTTTGTATAAATTTTATAAAAATATTATGTTTTATAATATTTTCATACTAAGTTAAGAGTGTTTTCAACAAAAATACTTTGACACAATGTTTTTGCTTTCAGCAATATTAGGAAAACATGGTAACATAATATTTTTATACTATGTTATAGTATTTTTCAGGTATCATTAAAAATACTATAGTGCAATAAGCAATATTGTAACTTGATCGATTCACACTATCGATCGGTCTATAGGGAAAAAAAAAAGAAAAAAAATAATATATAGTTAGAGATATTTTAGATATTAGACAAAAATATGGATGGTTAGAAAATCTTAAAAATGGAGGACACTTTATGAGAAAAACAAAAAAAAAGATTATTTTCAGGAATTCACCTAATAGGTTATCGACCATAAAAGAAGCAAAAAAGAAAAATATCAATTATATAAATTGAGTGATAGCATACAATAAGAAACTTCCAACATAATAATAAATGAGCGCCGGTGAGAGTACAAAAGCAATTTAACGACATTCCACTTTATGATGTTGACGGTTGTTTGTTCTTTGATCTCATTTATCGAGATTGCCTTTTTCCTCTCACTCTTTCCTTTTTAAGTTTGTTTAAACACGTAATACTACAAATCTCACGATAAATTATAAGTCTTTTAATAGACCCATCTTAATGGCATTCTAAAATCTTATCACCCCTTGGAATGCTATCACATATCAGTTTGATTAGTATTATAACACCCATCCATCTCTGAACCATATCGACAATGAGCCTAAATTTTGGTGGTGTCGATCAAATGCGTAGATGTGATCGCGTGTCTCGATTGCAGCCTGCCATCTTTCAAGCTGGGATTGGTCAGCGTCGACGTGGATTCGTATTACGTTGAGTCTTCTGACGCCATAAATTTCCGACATGAGTAGTTTTGAACAGCTCAGCCATACATTACTATTACGTGGGCTCTAAGTAGCCACGTCGGCGATTGGGTTCCAATTATTGTGGATCGTCTCCATCTCCCACCGACCCACTTATCCCATTTTGGTAACTCGGTAGGTTATGGTAGTGATATATCAAACTCAGATTCGAGTTCAATCGGATCATATCGCGGATCGGGTAACCACATGTGAATTAGACCCAAATATCTGAGGTAAGTCGATGCAGGATTTACATGACACACTCACTATAAATGCATGCAACGTCCTCCATAAAGGGATAAGCCACTTGCAGAGAGATCCAATGGCGGTCCAAGTGACGAGCTCCTGCCTTGTGACTCCCGAGAAGGAGACCCCCACCCAAGCCATTTGGCTCTCCACCTTGGATCTCTTCCAGATCCGGGCTCACGTCGCCACCGTCTACTTCTACAGACCGCCCGCCAACGGTGACCCCGCCGGCTTCTTCTCCCCGGAGGCCCTCAAGGCTGGCCTGCGCAAAGCCCTGGTGCCGTTTTACCTGTTTGCCGGCCGGATCGGCACCGACGGGAACGGCCGGACCGAGATCAAGTGCAACGGCAAGGGCGCGCTCTTCGTGGAAGCCAAGTCGGAGGAGCTCACCGTCGATAAGTTCGGAGACTTCGCGCCGTCGCCTGAGTGCAGGCGGATGCTGGTACCCAGCGTGAGTCCTGACGACGGAGACGACGCCGTCCCTCTTCTACTGCTTCAGGTAACTCTTCTCCCTGCGCTCATCGTGTGAAGAGAACACGGACATTGTTTGGCTGCGCGGTGTGCGCGCGAACGCAGACACCAGTGTGTGGTCTACCGGTGAAGGCCATCGGTGGGTTGGTAGCGATATCGAGCCTGCAGCTTGCCAAAGAGAGCAACGACAACCAACCGCATGATCTGAACTCACTTGATGTTTGCCTTCTTTAGGTCACGTACTTCAAGTGCGGCGGAGTGTGCCTGGGCGTCGGCCTGCACCACTTGGTCTCCGACGGCGTCGCGTCCCTTCACTTCATCAATGCGTGGTCGGACATCACCAGGGGCGTCGACCTCGCGGTGCCGCCCTTCCTCGACCGCACACTTCTCGTCCCTCGGTCCCCGCCGTCGGTCCTCTTCCCCCACCACGAGTTCAAGCGGTGCCCCGCCGGGCGCAACGCGTCCGCCGACAAGCCCGCCGTGTCCACCGCGATCCTCGCGCTCTCCGCCGACCAGCTCGCCGCGCTGAAGACCGCGTGCGCCAAGGTGGCGTCGAGTCGGCGCGTCACCACCTACGAAGCGGTGGCCGGGCACGTCTGGCGTCGCGCATGCGAGGCCCGCCGCCTCGACGCCGGACGCGAGACCCGCGTCTACATCACCACCGACGGCCGCCGCCGCCTGAGGCCCCCGCTGCCACCGGGATACGTCGGGAACGTGATATTTCCGACCGTCGCGGTCGCGACGGTCGGGGACGTGACGTCAGAGACGACCGCGGACGCCGCCAGTAGGATCCACCGCGCCATCACTCTCATGGACGACGAGTACTTGCGGTCTGCGCTGGACTTCTTGGAGATGGAGGAGGACGTGAAGAGTCTGGGCCGATGGGCCGGCAACTTTACGTCGGCGGATCTCTCCATCACTTGCTGGACGTCCCTCCCGATCTACGAAGCCGACTTCGGCTGGGGGCTGCCGGAGTTTATGGGTCCGGCGACGATGTTCTATGGCGGTCTGTGCTACATTATGCCCAAGCCGCCCGCCAAGGCGGGGGGCGTTTTGGTGGCCGTCTCACTGGAGGCGGAGTTCATGGACCGCTTCAAGGAGCTCTTCTATGACACCATCGCCGAGAACTGAGAAGGAGCACAACTGCAGTCCGGTTTGCTTATCTATGTTGTGATGAATGGAATGTTCTATGATGGGTGTGTCTTTGTTGGGAAGCAATGAGAAGATAAAAAGCTAAACACAGAATCAGAATAACTCAAAATATAATCAAATTTCATTAAGAAAAATTGACTACAACTCCTCAATCAATACTTTGTAGCACATATGTCTCTCCTCTGAATTATTTATCATCTAAACTTATTATGACAATTACATATATTTGAATCATCACAATCAAGTAGGCATCCTAAATCAAATAAACTCTTATTTTGACATCTCCTAAACTAACAAAACTTATACTAATATTATTTTAACACTCCCTCATCATACTAATATATTTAATTATAAGTTTATCCCTTCAAAATAAAAATTTATAGGTTGGTCCGAATCTATTATAATGAATTATAATTCTACTAATCTATTATATATTTAATTATAATTATACTAATATATTTAATTATACGATGCATCGAGTTCTTGGGAGCGATATATCTTTTTGAAAAATATAAATTCTTCATAATCCATTTTGTGTTTTACTTTTTTTTTTCAAAATTTATAGGTCATTTGATTTAAGCAAATTTACATCTTTCAAAAGTTTTAACTAAAATATTGTATTTTCTTTGAAAATCTAAGTAAAGTTTGAGATGACAAAGAATTGCTACTCCTAAAGTTTGAAGATTTTTTTCTTTAACATAGCAGAAAGAAAGGAAGAAAAAACACATGGAAGATTATCATAAATTAAATTATTAAAAAAAATTAAATAAATGAATAAAGAAACGCTTTAAAGGGAGGAAATTAATTGCCAATCGAAATAATTCATCAAGAAAATATTACTATCTCTAAATGCTATTGTATGCATAAATAAAGAATAAGATTTTTCATATCTATCCTTCATAATCATAGTAGGTATCGATGAGGTCCACCTAATGGACCATTATCAATCACTATTGCATGGAAGAATCCAAAAATAAGATGTAGAATAATGGTTGCTAGAATTATCCATGTCTAAGTAGGTTTAAAATACACCAACAGTGACAAGCAAATTAATGTGGCTTCGATAAATATCTAAGTTAACACTCTATTATTATTATTATTATTTTAAGAAAGAGATGTTCTAAATTATGCTTTAATTCATTATTATGAGGTTTTGTATATCTACCTTTACTGTGTTGAAGAGTATCAAATGCTATCAATAATTATGACATATATCTACATTTTTAGGGGGTTTAACATATCTACCTTTGCTGTGTTTAAAGAATATCAATTTTTTTAACATATATCCCTTTTATCAGCATCTATAAAAAAGAGGTCTAACCAAGTCAGACCACCGTAGTTGGAATTTGCTAAGTTGACTTAAAAATATTTATAGATATCATATGCTTAATTTTTTAAAAGAATTTATAAAGCTTTACAAAGGGACTAATATCAATTGAAATTCAAAGGTACATTGGTGAAGTTTAAAGTTTTTATAGCTATTATATATATATATATATATATATATATATATATATATAAACTATTTCTCAAATTTATTTGACTGAATCAAAGGAGGCATTTTTTTTTCATATTTTAAAGGAGTGTCTCTATCTTTTTAAAATATTAGAATACCCTAAACACGACATAATAATAGCTCTTTTATTTTTTTTATATCGATATATAGAGTGAATCGGTCAATAAATTTTGGGTCGGATATATAAGGTGAATCGATCCGATTCTTTAATTACAATGTTCTTGAATAGGTTTATAATATTTTTCAAACCACTATAAACCTATTCAAAAAGTCTCCTATTTGTTTATTCTTATTTTTAAACCAATAAAAATAATTATTTAAAATATTATTTATATATATAAGTTGGTTTCAATTAGGTTTTGAATCCATTAGCCTTAATTATTATGTTTTTGAATAAACTTATAATGTCTCGATCGAGTGCTAAAAATACTATAACCCTATTCAAATATACTGACATAACCTATCAATTTGGATACTATTATTCCAAAATGAATAATAAATATATATTTTATATAAATTAGTTTATATTGGGTTTTAAGTACATTTTATTTAACTGTAATATATTTGAACAAATTTATAGTATTTTTGAAGTGTTAAAAAATATTTTAAAAATATTTAAAATAACTATAACTTAGTATATGTTTTGTACTTACGAGACAAAAGAGTGTTATAGTATGTTCGACTCAAAAGAGTGTTACAGTATTGTAGAGATGAATCTATCGATCACGAAGATAAAGATGCATATATGAGACAACATATAATAGTGTGTTAAGTAGAAAAATAATATTGAGTGATGTTCAACTCGAAAAAGTGTTACAGTATTGTAGAGGTGGATCCATCGATCATAAAGATAAAGATGCATATACGAGACAATATATAATAGTATCATGGGCATTACAATGTCATGGTACAATAGAGGCGGGACTGTCGTGGGGTCATCAATCCCTTAGAGGGAAAGTGTTGGTCATGAAAATGATCAAGGAGTTGGAGAATACAAAGACAAACTCTAAGTACCGAGATGAAGTTAAAGGATAGAGGTCAGAGAACTTCATAAGATCGATGTTAATAAGTTTCTTATTAAGATAATCAAAAGTGGAGAATTCCGAGTGGATGCAAAAGTGCTCGACCAAGGAATGAAACATGTAGTAGTACATGGTATTGTACTGTTTCTACTTAAAGGAGTAGACGACAGAAAAAATAAAGAAGATAATACAATCCCAAAGACGACTAAAACTATTAGAGACTTACTTCGAGTCAGAGTGAAATTTTACTTTTTTCGAGCAAAATTTCTTAGAAGTTCGATGACAAAGAGAAGATGAATCGTAATAACTAACTTGATACAAGGAGTACAAACACTTTGAATGTTTCAAATGTGTGAGCAAATAACAGGCCAAGACTAGTAACTTTTATCTTATCAACCCTTAAGAAATTGAGCGAAACTGAGTATGTTAATTTTCTTATTTATCTATATAAGTTGTATAAAAGCTCAAAGACTATTCAAAAAAGTTTAGCTGAAGATAATATTGTTAAATCCTTATCAACGGTGATCGGTGCTTCATTTTAAAGATATTTTAGAGATTATGAAAAGATGAGGTACTGTTTCTACTTAAAGAGTGAAATTTTACTGACCAAAATTTCTTATATTCTAAAAGTTCGATGACAATAAAAAGATGAATGGCAGTAATCAACTCAACATAAGAAGTACTAATACTTCGAATGTTTCAAAAGTACGAACAAATAACAGGTTAAGACTAGTAACTTTCAAAAGTATCTTAATTTTTTTTATTTATCTAAATAAGTTATATAAAAGCTCAAAGACTATTAGAAAAAGTTTAGGAGAAGATAATATTATTGAATGGTGATCGGTGCTTCGTTTCTAAGATATTTTAGAGATCATGAAAAGATAAGGTGTCCCTTCGAAAATTTAGAAACCGACGTAGCTCACTGAGAAAATTAAAAAAATATTTTTTTAATTACTTAATTTATTTTAATAAGGTTCGTGCTGTCAAGGCATATATCGGCAAATATTCACGATGCAATAGGAGAATAGAACCCCCATGCGGGACCCACCACTACTGACGTTTGTATGCTTACATCGTTACGTTGGTCGTGGGCAGCAAATAATCCTTGAATAGAAGCCCAACTAGACATTAGAAAAGCTTCTTATTCTCTTTATGCAAGTCAAAGAAGACTCCTCGATTAAGAAATCGACAAGAGGCATAATGCTTAAGCTGGAAATCATCAATTAAGGTTGTTCATGTACCATTCCCATTTTCAGATTGGAGAGTGACATTAAATTATCTCTCTTTTTTTTTTCTTCTAAAAGTTTAGTGTAATTTCATATGTTGATCGAGAGAGAAGCATTTTATCATCCTTCGAGTAGCATTTCATATATTCTTTAATTATTGATTTCGGAGATTTTTCTCTTCATTTTGAAGTCTTCTCTTGATTTCTCTCTCGTGTATTCTTCGACTCTTTTTAGATGATACTCTTCTCTTTCAATTGGCCTTTATATAGGTGGATACTGTGCGTAGTCTATAGTTTATTCAGGTTGTACCTGTTTATGCACTGCTAGGGTGGCGTACAAAGGATGCTGTTTCTTCTCCATTGGTTGTCACTCGTCCGTCTCTTGTTTCTCTATTCAGTTTCGTTGACCAGTCTCGATCTCTCATCTACCGCGACCAACTACAGAATCATCGAAGGAGGAATCTTCCACCGGTGGTTTCGTCGGCCCTGACCTCATCATGCTCGTCTTCATGCCGATTACGATGGCCAAATATCGAGAAGAACCGACAAATATAAGGACGTCAATGCCGTGCCCAACAAGCGTGTGAATGTTCATCAGCGTCGCTCATCCTTCCTCCTTGACCGCCCTCGCGACCTACGCCCGCAATCTATTCCAACTCCTTATGTTCATCAACCTCTGAACCAGAGAGCAGCAACTGCAGCGTCGAAGGAGCGGATGACGCCCGAAACGACTCCGGCTAGGATGTTTTCGGAGCAGCCGGCGGAGTTCCAGCTCAAAGAGACCAGCCCTTCTCTTGGCGGGGAAAAGATCGTCGGAGGCCGGAGGATCAAGGGGGAGAAGGCAGGTGCCTTTGACCTCGTGGAAAAGATGGAGTACCTCTTCGTGCGGGTGGTGAAGGCGCGTGAATTACCCGCCAAAGACATCACCGGGGGCCTTGACCCTTACGTCGAGGTGAGGCACGGCAACTTCAAGGGAACCACGAAGCACTTCGAGAAGAGCCACAACCCCGAGTGGAATCACGTGTTCGCGATCGCTAAAGACCGGTTGCAAGCAACCTCCGTCGAGGTCATGCTCAAAGACAAGGTCCTCGTCACGGATGATCTCGTGGGGCTCGTGCGCTTCGATCTCAACGAGGTCCCTACGCGAGTTCCTCCCGACAGCCCACTGGCGCCGGAGTGGTACCGGCTCGAGGACAAGAAGGGGGACAAGGTCAAAGGCGAACTGATGCTGGCCGTTTGGTACGGAACCCAAGCGGACGAGGCCTTCGCCTACGCGACGCACTCCGATGCTACGCCGGCCGTTGATGCCCAAATCCTGAACAGTTACGTCCGCGCAAAGGTTTACCATGCGCCGAGGCTGTGGTACGTTCGAGTCAACATCATCGAAGCCCACGATATCTTTGCGTCCGACAAGAGTAGGATTCCGGAAGTGCTTTGCAGAGCGCGAATCGGAAGCCAGATGATGAAGACGAAGGCGATCCAGTCTCGGATGCCGATCTTCCGGTGGAATGAAGAGTTCATGTTTGTGGCCGCAGAACCTTTCGAGGAGCAACTAGTCCTCTCCGTAGAAGATCGCATTGGGCCCAGCAAGGAAGAGGTGATCGCCCATGTCCATATCCCTTTGACGTCCGTGGATAAGCGCGTCGATGACCGGAACATCCGCCCGAAATGGTTCAACCTCAAGAAGCCGGTGGTGGTGGACTTGGACCAGCTTAAGGAAGACAAGTTCTCCAGTAAGGTTCACGTACGCATCTGCCTCGACGGAGGATACCATGTGCTCGATGAGTCCACTCAATACAGCAGCGACCTGCGACCATCGGCGAAGCCGCTGTGGAAGCCCCCGATCGGGGTGCTCGAGCTTGGCATCCTGACGGCCGACGGGCTCCACCCGACGAAGACACGGGAGGGGAAGGGCGCCTGCGACTCCTACTGCGTCGCCAAGTACGGGCACAAGTGGGTGAGGACTCGTACCGTCGTCGACAACCTCAGCCCAAGGTTCAATGAGCAGTACACCTGGGACGTCTACGATCACGCCACCGTGCTCACCGTCGGAGTCTTCGACAACTGCCAGCTCGGCGAGAAGAGCTTCAGTTCCAATGGCAACAAGGACACCAAGATCGGGAAGGTAAGAATCCGTCTTTCTACCCTCGAAACCGGACGCATCTACACCAACTCGTATCCTCTGCTCGTCCTCCACAACTCTGGCGTGAAGAAGATGGGAGAGCTCCACCTTGCCATACGGTTCTCGGTGACGTCAATGCTCAACACGATGTACATATACTCGAAGCCCCTCTTACCCAAGATGCACTACACACGTCCATTACCGCTGCTTCAGCAAGAGACGCTCCGTCATCAAGCCGTCCAACTTGTTGCCGCTCGGCTGGGTCGAATGGAGCCGCCTCTGCGGAAGGAGGTCGTGGAGTACATGTCGGACGCTCAATCTCACTTGTGGAGCATGCGCCGAAGCAGAGCCAACATCTACCGGTTGATGTCCGTCTTCTCAGGCTTGGTCGCAGTGGGAAGATGGTTCGGCCAGGTTTGCGCGTGGAAGAACACCATCACGACCATACTAGTGCACATCCTCTTCCTCATGCTCGTCTGCTTTCCTGAGTTGATACTTCCGACGGTCTTCCTCTACATGTTTGTTATAGGGGTTTGGAACTACCGGTTCCGCCCTCGCAAACCGCCCCACATGAACACGAAGATCTCCAACGTCGAGCAAGTGCACCCCGATGAACTCGACGAAGAATTCGACGTGTTTCCTACCTCTCGCAGCCCGGAGATTGTGAGGATGAGGTATGATAGGCTGAGGAGTTGGGCCGGAAAGATGCAGACGGTGGTGGGCGACATAGCGACGCAAGGTGAGAGACTACATCTGCTGCTGTCATGGAGGGATCCTCGGGCCACGGCGATGTTCATGGTGTTCTGCCTCTTCATGGCGGCGTTGCTGTACGTGACGCCGTTCCAGGTGGTGGCAATCGTGGCTGGGTTCTACGTGATGAGGCATCCAAGGTTCAGGCACAAATTGCCATCTCCGCTTGCCAACTTCTTCCGTCGATTGCCGGCGCGGACCGACAGCTTGCTCTAGTGCAGCAGCAGCTTGAATTGGATGATTTGTGACAGCAGCAGTCTCGTACTCGACGTGTTCCTTTCTGCTCTACGCTTGTAATGTCGAAATAGGCAGTGATCGGTTCACTTTCTTGAAGCTTTGGTGTTGTAGCTTATGAAAGAAGACTGTGTTGAGTTACACGGTAAACTTGTAGAATCCTGATGCAATGCTTGTTTTCCTGGTTTTGTGTTGCTTTAAAAACTGTTCCCTACTGAGATCAACGGTAGCGAAGAATCCACGTGGATTTAGACAAACTTTGTCGGGTTTTTAGCATATAGTCAAATGAATCGGCATGACTAAGTCGAACATGACCCATTAGCTTTGAATGGGTCGACAGCAAAAAAGGGACCAAATTGATCGCGTAATGATGGGCTTGTCTTGAGATCTTGGCCCAGAAACAATTTTTAGTCTTCAGGAAAACATAGGGTTTTAGGACGAACACCACGCGGGCACAAACGTTCCCTTCGCTAGATCGACAAGCACGCAGAATTCTCCTCTCCTCCTCCCTTCTTCATGTGACCCGCACAAACCCCATAGCCTCAATCCTCACATCTCAATGTTTCCGTTCTGCATAACCAGCCGACTTCCGAAGAGCCATGGGACGGCTTCGTATACTCCCAACGTTCCTTCTTAGCAGACCGATCACCGCCGCCATCGCTTCCGGTTGCCGCCGCTCCTTCCGTTGGGCAACCGCCGCCGCCGACGATGACGACAATACCATCGTCCAAGAAGTCACGGAGGGGAACGAGAAGCCGAGGACCGCGCCGCTCTCACCCCCCCACTGCGACTTGACTTCTGCTCGCGTCCTTCGCGTGCTGCGCCTCCGGAATCCTTATGCTGCCTTCGCTTCCGTCAAGGAGTTTGAGAACCTCGGCTTCCGACACACTCTTGATACTTACTCTGAACTCGTTGGCGTGTTAGGCGAGGCAGGTCACCGGAAACGGCTGATTTTTTTGTTCTCTGATATGTTCTTGATGAATTCCAGGAGTTTGGGTTTCGAGGTCTCGGATGTCTTTGACGTTCTTTATCGGAGGTCTTACGGCACTAGCGTGATGATCGTGGTCTTTGATGCACTGATCAAGGCGTATGTTCTCTGCAGGATGCCTCAACAAGCTGCAGATGCGTTGTCCCAGCTGCCGAGCCTTGGATTCGTGCCGTCGATAAAGACTTGCAGCTATCTCATGAACTACCTTGCTGAAAGTGGCAACTTGGATTTGGTACTTCAGGTGTTCGAAAAAATGATGATGCTTGGCATAGATCTGGATGCTTATGCATTCACCATATTGATCAAGTCATTGTGTCGGGAAGGGAAGCTGGATGAGACTCTTGGTGTTTTGGATGTGATGAGGAAGGTCGGCATTCAGCCCGATCGGATTACTTATCACACCGTTATAGAAGGAATGTGTACCAACGGGAAGCCTGATTTGGCTTATGTACTTCTTAAAGAGATCACAAGAAGGGGCATACTTTTGGGTCGCATTGCTTATAACAAAGTGATTAGCAGGTTGTGTAAAGAGAAGAGAGTTCGAGAAGCAGAAAACGTTTTGGAGGACATGACAAGACAAGGAGTGGTTGCAGATGCATTCAGCTATCGATGTCTCGTCAAAGGGCACTGCATAGGTGGAAATTTCTTAAGAGCATTAGATCTTTATGAGGAGATGGTTTCCAAGGGTATTAGAACAGATCATGTGATAAAGACTTGCAGTTATCTCATGAACTACCTAGCTGAAAGAGGCAAGTCGGATTTGGTACTGCAGGTGTTCGATAAAATGAAGATGTTTGGGATAGGTCTGGATGCGTATGCATTCACCATATTGATCAAGGCATTGTGTCGGGAAGGGAAGCTGGATGAGACTGTTGGTGTTTTGGATGTGATGAGGGAGGTGGGTGTTCAGCCCGATCGGATTACTTATCACACTGTTATACAAGGAATGTGTACCAATGGGAAACCTGATTTGGCTTATGTACTTCTAAAAGTGATCACAAAAAGCGGCATACTTCTGGATCGTGTTGCTTATAACAAAGTGATTAGCAGGTTGTGTAAAGAGAAGAGAGTTCAAGAAGCAGAAAACGTTTTAGAGGACATGAACAGACAAGGAATACTTGCAGATGCATTCAGCTATCGATGTCTCATCAAAGGTCATTGCATAGGTGGGAATCTCTTAAGGGCATTAGATCTTTATGAGGAGATGGTATCCAAGGGTATTAGAACAGATCATGTGATTGTCAGTCTCTTGCTCCAATATTTATGTAAAGCGGGCATGACTTCTAAAGCATTAGAGTACTTCAGCAGATTTAGAGAGTCAGGAATTTTGCTTGACAAGATTCTTTACAATATTGCAATAGATATCCACTGTAAGTTGGGAAATATGAGTGAAGCAGTGAAGCTGCTCCTTGAGATGGAGTGTCAGGGATTATCTCCAGATAGAATCCACTTCACCAGTTTGATAAAAGGGTATTGCAATAAGGGTGATATGGCTAACGCTCGGAAGGTGTTTATTCATATGCTGAACATCAGTGTGGATCCTGATCCCGTGACATATAATATACTTGCTAGAGGGTTTTGTAGAAATGGTCCTGTTGATGATGCATTTTACCTTGTAGCCTACATGTTCAACCATGGCATACAGCCAAGTGAAATTACCTATCATTTGGTAATTGACAGCCTTTGCAGAGAAGGAAAGTTAGAGGAGTCAAACATACTATTAAACACGTTAGCGGAGAGGGGAGTTGCTCAAAGCTCCCTTCTAGTCAGTGCAATGGTTTCTTGTCACCTGCAAACTCATTGTACTGTGGAGGCTTATGCACTTTTTATTTGGTTATTTAGGCAAGGATATCATGTGAATGAAATTGCTTGCTCGAAGCTCATAACTGAGCTTTGTAAGGAGGGAGATATAAGGAGAGCCTCTGTGGTGTTTAAGTCGATGTTAAGTAGGCAAATTACCCCAGATGAGATATGCTATAGCAAACTTATTAGAGCTTATTCCCGGATTGGAGATATGACAAGTGCTCATGTTTGGTTCAAGGACATGCTGAAACGAGGACTATCACTAGATGTTGTAGTATATACTACATTAATGGATGGATACTGCAAGGTCAATCGCTTACATGAAGCTTTTCAATTGTTTGTTGAGATGATTGAAAGTGGAATTAGTGCTGATGTGCTCGCACTCACAGTTATATTGGATGGCCACTTGAAAGAAACTCGTCGTCAAGATTGGCTGTATTACAATAATAGAGAAGACAAAGTTAAAATGAGATCTAAGTGCTTAATGCTGTTACATAACATGAGAACAATGGAGATCAAACTCGATGTCATTTGCTATAACGTATTGATTGATGGGTATTGCAGGTTGGAATATGTTCAGCTTGCACACAAACTATTTTCTGAGATGATTGAAAGAGGGTTGTCACCTGATGCTTGTATGTACACTGCACTAGTCTGTGGTTACTGTCGCCTTGGTGAAGTTCGTAAAGCCGAAGACTTGGTCGATGAAATGCTACTGAAAGGAATACGGCCTGATAAAGTCACTATCTCAGTCATTGAGCGGTGGAGTTTGCGGCCTAGAATGATGCAGTTTCAGTAGTTCTGAATCAGATAGGTGATAAGGATCAGTTACCATGTTTAATTGCTAGGAAGACAAAGATTTACCATTCGTCAGGTACATGTATTTTATGTAAAGTAGCTCAATAAACTATTCTGTGATTTGCTATATCTAAGTGGTGTGGCTATTGCAGGTTATGAAGCATGGTTAATTAGGCTCGTGACGAAGAACTGAATTTTTTTGGACCTTTAATGTGTGCTTGGAGTAATCATGCTTATTGTTGGTTGGCTCCTTGCTCTTTTGATTGCTCATTATTGGTCCATTTGCCGAGCATCTTTAAGTCGGTCAACATTAAATTGACAAACTTATAAAAGGTTGAACTTACCTACCTGTCTTCAATTAATTTTCTTTTATTTATTTTGTCATATCACTTTGCATGCATCACATGGGCTCTTTTTAGTAGATTTCAATATCAGTCAGCCTCAACTTGATTTTTCTCCATATATAGATGCATATGAGTTCTCAAATTGAGCAGAGTAGTAGTATGAATTCTTTCACCTCCTAAGGCTCAGATCACAAGCTAAAATTTTTGAATAGGTTGGAAAGAGGGTCCTTCATTTGCTAGTCTTATTGGAATGGTCTACATTGAGTCACCAGCTCTGAAACAATTAGGTCTCTCAAAACCTAATTTGCAGCTGGTAATAAGTTCTGCTGCTGAATTGTTGCTTTATCTTTGTTACGATTTAACTAATTTGCAGCTGGTAATAAGTTCATCGGCTGAACTGTTGCTTTATCTTTTTTACGATTTAACTTGTAATTCTTCTATCTTTTTGTTCCATGTAATCAAATCGTTTTATTCACATTTATGGTTTATATCATGTTACACGATTGGAGTTACCCGTTGATTATTCACTTATGCCTGCATATACCATCTGATCTTGAAATATTAAATATAGCAATTAAAGAAAGATGAGCTTTAAGTTAAAGGTTTATTGGGGCTACTTGGTTATGCTGTGTCTTAATTTAAAGCCAAACTTAATGCCACATCAAAAATCCAAATTCCAATCCCAGCCTAGCCCAGTTTGTCTCTTGGTTGGTTCTTTCCTAGCCCTCACCAAAAGATATCATGAAATTAGGATTTACTTGAACTGATTGGATTGACAATTTATTGGGTTGGGCTAGGCCAAAGTTTGAATCAGATGATTAATTTGATCGTAGCAAAGTGCAATAGATTCAGTAAAGTTATTGTCCTCATTCCAGTCATCATTCTCAGGTTGTTACGTTGCTATAGCAACCCCTCTGTGTTTACCACTAAAGGAACTGTGAATGGTTATATAATCCTTTGATATCTGAAGTGTTTCAAGTGTCGTCACTTTGGTTTACTTCTTCCTAATTTATTCTTAAGAACTTAACTGCTTCTGGTTACACCTATGTGTATTTCTAATTTTGTTTGATCTGTTTATGTCATTGTTGCAATCACTTTGTCGGTAGAATGACAATCATTTTCATTTATCAGGTGGAGATTTCATCGATTAGTGGCTTACCAGAAAGTTATGACAATCATAGCTCTTCTAATAGATCCAATGGAAAGGAAAATATCATTCCTGGTAAATGAATGGTTATATATTTATCTATGATTAATTTTGCACCATTCATCTTTCCTTGTTTTTCACCTTGGCAAACAAATCCTTGATTAGTGGTCTTTCTGCATCGTTTTTGTGCAGGATCGAGAGACCTTTGGAGATCTTCTCCATCAGTCCTCGTGGGTTCTGTGCTTATGGCAACTCCAGCATTGAGAATCCAGATGCTTCTGCTATCTATGAGTTCTAGTTTTGGCACTGGTGGTCGTACAGTGTGCAGGATTTGCAGGAAATTGGCCCAAATTCTTCCTGTGTCATACACTTTTCTTACAGATATGTACAGGTATTGTTGCTATGCCACCTCTTGTTTTGCTTGTCTGCGTGCATTTTGGATCTCAATTTTGCTTTTTATTTATAAATATACTTCAATTGTATCCCAAAAGTTTGCATTCAGCGAGGTGGTTTTGGGAATTATTCCTGATATCATTTCTTGTGTCTTTCTCTGGTATGAGTAGATTTTGAGCAACTGGAAAACACAAACTAATACTCCTTGCTTTGTAGTTTCAAGCTTAGGCATCAGGCTTGATCTGCTCCAATAAACAAATTTTCATAGGAAATAAGTCAAATTCATGTATGTTGTCTCTCTCCTTCCCAATGTTTTTATTTCTTCCTGCATCTCATGAAGCTACTACTTATCTCATTGATTCATGATGTTGTGACTTCATAAGATACGTCATTAGCTATTTCTATGAATTTACAAACACAAGATGCAGTGGGCCCTCTAACATAGGAGAAACCAAAATGCTTATTGAGCCAACAAAAAATGGATGATCGATGGTGTTTAATGCATCCTACAAAACATTTGGATTTAAGAAAAATTCTGATTCAAATCTAATTATTAGGGTTAGGGCATTAGCTCAGTGATTTAAATCTTAACTTGAATATCTTGATTGAGGTGCATATCTTGTTACCTTCCCAACTATGACAGATGAAGGTATTGTGAGCAAGTCCCACTAGCATTTCAACAATCTTAAACACAGCTGCCTCAAAACCTCTATTTGGTCAAAAAAGCCAATTGCCAAATCTTCTAATTAATCACCCAATTGTCAAATATTTTCAGTCATCAAACCAACATATGCAGCATGAGAGCCAAACATGTCATCTTTGATGCAAGCACGGACATCTTCACATGGATGGAAGCAATTGGGTTGTTTGAGGCGCGGCAGATTCTGCTACGACATTGGTGGGTAAGAGCCTTCCATTTTAGCTTTTTTCTACTGCTTCTCTGAGCTAGGATTTGGATTCTTTTGGTATGATCTGGGGACAGAAATGGCGGTCTTAATCTTATTCTCTTTTTTTTAATTTCATTTTCTCTCAGAAGGAGTTAAGTCCTTATGTAATTAATAAGCACATTTCTAGTGATTATTAGCAGAATTGTGTCTGGTAATTAAATTTTAATGGATTTAAATGTAAGATCCATGCTTGAACATTTTATTTGTGGATTCTGGTTTGGGGCGTTTTAGGCCATCCTACAATTCAGGTTTACTTGGGTAATGAGAAGTCTACTGGACATCAACTGCTGTTACTGATACACTTGTTGCTTCTGATACACTTGTTACTGATACACTTCTCGTTGTGTTCCACAGTTGGACTGCTGCCTCTCCACCCGGGGCTGACCTCCGGCTGTTCTCAGGAGCGCAACACCTTCACCATCCTGGAGCTCACCCAGCAGTTGTGGGCGGCCGAGAACATGACTGCGGGCTACCAACCCCGCAACAGCTGCCTCTGCTGTGTCTTTGCTATGTTACATGCACTATCCATAACAAGAACATTGACTACTTCGTCACAGCGGATCCCCAACAACATCAAGTCCAGTGCCTCCACCAGCCACTTTCATGGGCAACTCACTTCCTCATGTTCCACCACAAGGCCTCTTGCACTTTGTTACACCGGGAAAGGCATGGACTAGAGGGGGAGTTCACTGAGGCCAAGAGCAGCATGGATATGAAGATGAGTTGCTTCTGTCAGTGTGCGATTAGTCTGATATGAGTTCTGTTATCCATTTTTACACGTCAATCTCAATTCTCTCTCTCTCTCTCTCTCTCTCTCTAATGGAGGTAGCATCATATTATTTCACGAAACCTTCCAGTATATATATATATATATAATATGATGGTTTCATGCAATAATATGATGCTACTTCCATTAATCTGTTTACAATAATAAAAGCTTTTCCGTAGCTTATTGTACAAATTCCATTGTTCGAAAGAAGTTAAATTTGCATGTGAGTTACATTATTTATCTTTATGTCTACTAAAACTGATTTACATGCACATTTTGATAGAACATATATCATGCAAGACCATGGCATCAAGAAATCAAATTCCTGTGTTGGCTTTTGCAGCGGTTGACATGTGAGTACTGTGGGTTTATCTTAAGATACATCACCACACTTATGATTTACCACATCATATTGATCAATTAAAGATCGATACATTTTGCGTGCATATTATGATGAATTTTACCTTTGAGGATGATTATTAGCTTTGTTCAAGCAATAACGCTCCAAATCTAAACCCAACGCTTTATGTTTTGCCTTCCTTTGCTCTTCAATTGCAACTGCTTCGATCAAATGCCACACTTCTTCCCCAAGGAACAATTTCGCTTTCCCTTTTTGGACTTTTCTTTGCTCTTCAATTGAACTGCTTCAATCAAATGCCAAACTTGTGCATGGAAATGCAGATTGAAAACGACTGTAGCTGAGAATTGTGCATGGAAATCAACTGAATAAAGAGGCCTTTAGCATCGGCCATGATTTGACAGTGCGAGCATCTTTTTCTTGCTTCCCTGATTGGAAGTACAAAACAAAGACACTTCAGAACAAGTCAACAAAGATCTAAGGTGCCAAATTAAAAGAAATACCTGTAAAAGGTATGATATCAAATAAAATAAAGCATGTGAGATAAATCTTGTTCTTAAATACAAAGGGAAAGAAAATACAAGGATATTTTGTGAGTCACAGGTTTCTTCTATGTGCAAAAATATAATATGACCTGCTACACAAAGTTTTATTCAAATCACCCAGCATCAGTTCTCCACCAAATTGAAGAACACCATGAACAGAACATGCCAAAAATGAACTTTATACACAAGTATTAAGCTGCCATACCTCTACAAAAGGCAGCATGGCCTTTTGAACTTCCCATTCGGAATGATATATCCAGTCATCAGCATGGGAATGGCCAAATACAACAATTGGGCAGGCCATGTCCCAGCCACTACAATCACAACCTTCACCGGTAGGAGTGATCATGGTTCGGCTCGAACCCGATCGAACCAAGACCGAATCGAGGGTATGCGTTAGATTATGTGATCTTATTTAATTAGGTAAGATATATTATAAATTTAATTATACTCTTATGATTATCATTTAATAGAAAGGAAATTCAATTATGATAGAATTCCTTAGTTTCATAGGAGAGATACTCTTAATTATTTATTCTAGACTCTGCTCTCACCTATAAATAAACAAGATCTCTTAGGAACTCAACATATGACAATATATAGAAAAAAGATTACAAATATACTCTCATCTCTCCTTAGTCTCTGTCTTATTGCTTATAGTAATCTTACGAAGGATAGAAAGAGAGGAGGAGAGTTTAATTCATCCAATAAATCAATGCTATTGCTGCTTTTTTATTGGATTACGAGCACGTTCTTGCATCAGATAAAGGTTTTCTGAATTGTATCAAAAGATACATAATTCTGATCTTGATATATTGTTATTTGATTTCAGTTCTTAGCATTGAAATTTTTTTGTATAATAATAGCATAACTATAGTTTTTATTCTTATAATTGGTATCAAAGCCCATTGTTTTGAAATCTCATCCATCTTGTTGTCTGTTTATTGGTGATGTAAGGTTCCTCACGAGAGGGCTGGGGATGACATTTTGTCCGTGTTTGATCGATGGGTTACCAGTAGCAACTTCTTATCGGCAACGGCCTCCGTTGGTCGTCAGCCACAGACTAGACAAGCGGCTGCAACAACCCTGATAGTGAAAGCGCTGCAACGACACCGTTGCATGTAGTGATTGCCACCGTGAGCGACGGCTACCTTGGATGGCATCGCTTCTATCTACGATGGTAGGATTTGGCCACAGGCGACTGTGCTGCTACGTGTAGTAGCACAACAAGGTAGTGGTTCTATTAGGCACTAGCCTTGATCGACAACGAAAAGGGCGGTGAATACGGCCGCAACGACAAGTGACGACCTCCAATGGTCATCGGCCTTGTTGGGTACGCCACTGCCTGCAAGTGCCGGACAATAATGAGCGACGACGGTCGGCGCCACATGAGGCGGTTGCACGCCTGTGTATGGTGATCTATGGGCGATGACTCCATTGCTTTGCCTGGCAACATTGGATGCTAGTGAGGAGCAATGACTGCATGCCTATGCACGTCACGAAGTATATAGGGAGCGTGGTTGGTTGATGGTACTGCGTCACTAGCCCAGGGGGAATGGGACGTTGATGAGGAGACGTAGCGACGTGACTGTGAACGCCGAACGGTGGATGATGGCTACGCACCATGGCGACCATAGGCCACGCAGGCAAAGGTTGCAACGATTGAGAAGACGAAAGGGGATTAAGGTTTTTCACCCATTAAAAGACTAATTTTCCCTTTCGAAATCTTTTAATTCCAATTGAGGTTTTTCTTGATAGTTTATCCTTCGAAAATTAAATATTTTTAACTTATGTCCTCAACTATAAAATTTGATCAATTTGACATACTTTAACTATGAGAAGATAAAAGCATCAAAATCAGCAATTAAGCATTAGCACAATACAAACTCAGAATGGACAGCCGTGCTAACCGTGAATCTTCCAACTATTTTTGCCACAAGCTTACTACACATACCGCTTAGCTTTTTATCTTTCACAGTGCAGCATTACAAGAAAGGAATGAGAAATGGAGAGCCACAGTCTGTTAATTGGATATTTTACTCGCTCCTCTGAGGGAAAAATAATTGTCATATGTATATACAACAACACGTGAACAGCATGGCAGTGAAACTGAGGGTGATGGTGTTGTGTTAGTCTATATTCTGGCCAGTCATATGGCATGACCGACTGGCAATTTCCTAATACAAAACACCCTCAAGTTTATTCTGTGCCCATGCGTGCGAACAAGCAAGCGACAACAGAGCTCGATGGATTGATCGATGTGAAAGCCACTGACATGCCGCCAATGTTCGATTGTCAAATAATTGTACAACTTCAGCTATCCTCGTCAAGGGGGCCGATGTAAGTAAGGTCTGTTCTCCTCACCCTTACAGTACCCTTGAGCCAGCAACAGGCCTTGAGATTGGAATGGTCCCCATTGGTACTACCCATATTGCTGCTATTGTTTGAGGCAGAAGCAGAATTCGTGCCATCTTCCAGCAGCGTCCATGGGTCAATTTCCATGTCCATGTCCTGCAAAGCTGAACTCTTGCTCTTGCCAGGAAAATTATAAGTCCAGGCAGGGATACTTCTTTGATGAGTGCCTGGATTGAGATTGCTGGGCTGAAGCAATGTGTGCGCCACTGAGGGTAACACTGGAAGGTGGCAAGGAGCCATAAACGAAAGTGATGGAGAGAGAAATGGCATGGCGGTTTGGATACGCCAACGGATTGATGCAGGCAACTCCATGCGATCCAAGTCATTCTGCAAGATTTAAAGCATGAAACTATAATAAACGACTATACAAGAAAAAGTAATAATCAATAGCGCTATTGGATGAGCCATCAACTTCTGATGTGAAGAAAGATAATTATGAGGATGATTGCAGTAACCATTGAAGAATTATATAGGGGAAAAACTTAACATATCTCATAGTACCCAAATTCCTAATAAGAAACAGTAGCAGGGACATGCAACTAAGCAATCCGAATGTTAGTTTCACATGATGCTCATACAACAACGAAGTCATACTATTCCAACTATATGGGATTGGCTACTCCCTCTACCGTCCCTTATATCACTAATACTAATATTAATTGTGGCCGGCTAGCCACTCTAACTTCCCTTATATGACTAACATTAATATTAATTGTTTCACTTCTTGTAAGTGACATTTATACTATATGTCTCGTTAGCATATGTTTGTATCATCGTAAATGGTTCTTTTTCATTTTTATTATCTATCGAAGTTACTCCTAATTGTTCAAGAATAAAAACATTTCTATCTAATTATTCATAAATATTTTTTTTCCCTATCTTTCTTACTAAGTTCACACATCCATCACAACATTCTCATCTTAGAAACACTCACATGACGCTTATAACAAAATCAAAATCAAACACAAAAATATTACAGAGAAGAAGTCATAAATTTCCATGTATGAACCTCTGAATGGCTAAAAGATATGCCTTCTCACGACTATGTGCTAAACAAAATCAGTACCAAAGTCATCTGTGTAACTGACTTGCTGCTTGAATCGTTCATACTTCCACGCATAGTAAGAAATCCTTATCCAGATTTTTATAAAGCCAATCCATGGCAAAAATTATGCAAGTTTCTCAGTAAAAGAAAGCACCCACACAAAAAAAATGAGAGAAGAATTTAATTGATTTGATTATAAAATAGAATCTTCAGGAAAATGAAAAGTTAAATTTCCTGATGTAACCAGAAGGAAGACCACTAGAGGTTGTTACTAAAAATTTATAAATCCAGACCCATGATAACACATAATTCCTTCTTCTACTTATAAGATCCAAGTGTATCATAGAAACTACTAACAAAGAGTTCCTTTCTTCTGTTTACGTAGTGATTATTGACTATATTTACTTAATTCCTAAAAATATTTACATAATATCTCAATAATTGACGTTCATTAATGCATAATCTGATAACAACTTAAGGATACACACAATATTTAAAAAGACAATAAATGCAAGGATGACAACCACATTTTTAAAACTAATTTAGGCACTTAAGGGGTGCCTACAACTCATCTGAAAATTTTGCAAACAACTTTCACCTGCTTTACAAAAAAAACAATAGTACTAAAAATAATCAAATGCAGTAGCTAACTAACCTGCAAATTCTCTGCTGCCTCACGATCAAATGCAGAAATATCACGAGCTTTGATGGCTGATTTGGTGACAGACTTGGATTTTAGCCAACTTGCCTTGTAGCTGCTCAGCAAACCATGCAGAATGGCTAACAACCTATCAAACAGACTATCACTGGAATGATCCAACAAGGAAGCTTCAATGGGAGAATCCAACTCCCTTTTCAAAGGATCCATATGTATGGTTGAAGGGCATACATCTGCATCCTCATATACCAGACGTTTTCCAAGCAAACGAAGTATGATAGGAGCAAGCATCTGCCTCATGTTCCTACAAAAAATTAAACAAGAATCTCAGGACAAAGAAAACCCATTAAGCTGTGGAAAATAATATTTGCAGAAAGAAGATGAAGAAACTAAGAAGTTGAAAAACAATAATTGCTAAAATAACAGAGGTAAATCAACTGATAGACAATCTGTTATAATAAAGTATGTCATGTCCACAAACATTAGACAAATAGCAACACATGCAAAGAAAAGGTGAGTTTACACTGATTGGAAATGAGCAAATCCAATATGAACTCACATTATGTACTGGGAACAATTGACCTTATCTTTGTTAAGAATATTTTATCTCAGTATAACAAAAGAAAAAGAAAAAACAGATTTCCTTCAGTAAAGATACATACAAAAAGGCTATCCTCTCCAGCCTCATGTCCAAAATTTAACCAAATTAAGTTGGTCTGGATTAGGATAACTTGCTAGATCAAAAGTAAAATCTCATATATAGAGACATGAATAAGGATATGGACCTGAACCTACGGCTGAAGCTGTAAATTCACCAAGCTATTTAGATGAGCTAAGCTAGTATAGATCCAGACATAGAACAATTACTACTACCACTGAAACTGTGAAATCCCAAATACTTGGGGTCGGTTACATGGATATTTTGTGGTCATGGAACTATGTAAAAGGCAATATCTTCAATTTTTATTTATAGTTTATAGTAAGATCTTATATCTCCCTCTACCTCTCCCCATGTAACCTATACCGATTGTCTCACCTCAACTAACAAAAGAAGTAGACAATATTCCAATTCCAACAAAGTAATGAAAGCAGACATGAATGATGAAAAATATCAAAAATAGAAAAGAACACTTAGTGGTAGAAAATAATCCATGCTTTTGACATGACATAGAAGAATCATAATTCCTTTCAACTAACAACTAAAACATGCTAAAAAATTCATATCGATCACAAAAGTTTAGATTTAAAATTTGCTTTGCCCATTATATGCAAATATTTTCCCTCTTCTAGCTTGTTTTTATGTTTGCTTTATGCACCAAAGTACGAAATATACTTGTTTATCATACATAATCAAACATATCTTTCATAGTATTAAGCCTAAGCATCCTTGTTTACTGCTCAAGAGCTACCTTAGGGAACCAAGCAGTTACTTGTGACAACAAATACACATATAAAATACATTAGTCTTCATTCAGCATAGGGGAAGCACATCAATCCAATCCCTTCATTAAAAAGATATAAAGCCTTTAAGATGCTATAAAACAAAATCCAGATGTTATGGAGTCCTTGGCTACAACTTAAATCATCTGAAAATTAGCAATGATATGCCATAGTCTTCCGACCATATCACTAAAAGTTGTAACATGTAACAAGCAGATTTCAATTAATTTGGGGACTCAATGAACTCACCAAATCAAAAGGTTATGCAATACAATTTGTAGCTTCACATGCTGGAGCAATTTAATACAAATTCAAGGAGCTTATAGAAGTCAAAAGGCATTTAGAAGCTCTGAGGCACACCGTGAACAGTCCAGATGTGTAAAACTAGGAAGCCTTATGAGGCTTCCTAGTGCAGAGTACAAGCATGTGATAGGTGAGTGAGTGCCTCTGGTGCCACTGGTAGAGCCTTCTTGCAGAGCCAAGTGGCTTGGAACCCTTTTATGCAACCTACAGCGCATTCAAGGCTTCGTAAGTTCACCTCCAGCCCAATCACACTCTCCACTGATTAGACGCAAGTGTGAGGACTCAGGACCAACCCAAAGATCCTTATGTATGAAGACTAGAAATATTATGTGATCACAGTTACCTCATGTTCTAAATGCACAAATCTCAGTTCAGAGAAGTATGACAAGCAATTTCAAGAAAGAAATTGATATTTGATCTATATAACTTTCAGTTGGAAACCATGACCACATTAAAACAGAATTTGGCCATGTACAAGGATAGGTATTGTGTAGCCCTTTTTAAAATATGTAGATATTTAATAACCAGGTAACGTATATCTAGGAGTCAGTAATTACAAGTAAAAAGTTCTCAATCATATGCATTCTTTTCCAACCCTTCACCACCTTAGTCATGCAGGAACCAAGGATTGAAATCTCCATCGGTGACCACCATCCCATACATGGACCAACCTGAACCAAGCGGTTCAGTCCAGTATATAATATATATTTTTTCTCTAGGGTTACTGACCAGGGATGTCCAATTTCTCATGCTCGCAACAAGGCCCGTGCAACACACCGCCCACCTGCTGATACACCTCTGCCTCCTACTCCGCCGCCTCCTCTTCCTTGTCTTTTTCCTTCTAACATCTTCCTCCTCCACCACCTCCTCTTCCTCCACTCTCTGTCCTCTTCTCCTGTTCTTCCTTCCTCCAGAGGTTCCTGTTCTTCCGTCCTCTTCCTCCTCCTTCTTCCTCCTTTTGCTTCACCACCTCCTCTTCTTCTAACACTAAGGATATATTATACTATTGCAATCGCTGAAGTTGCCATAGTGTATTAAACACCACCTATCACATGGTGAGCATAGACAAAATGGAACTGCTAAAACTAACAGCTAAATAATAAATACAAAAGGAGAAATTATGTTAATGAAATCAATCAACAAACTTGTTACTAAATAATAATGAAAAAAGATACTTTAGATGTTTACAATTACCTATCCTCGTAAATAATAGGAAGCAATCTCAGTAGGAATTGCAGACGTAGGGACAATGAAATCTTCAGAGCAGCAGCAGATGGTGGGACAGAATCAATTGGTCGCCTACCAAGGACAGGGCTTCCACCTCGGATACCTTTACGACTGTTTCCTTTGTTTGAAGAAGCCTCAGAATTCAGGCTAGATTTAAAACCATTGGGTGTTACTGTATTAATTTGTTGATCAATAGCTCCCATCTGTTTGATTAACTCATTGGCAAATAAATTGCGTAACTCACTCGAACTGCGGTCTATGCATGGCAATATTAGTTCTGCAAGAGCTTTCTCAGTTTTATGCTGCTGACTTGGACTGAAACCTTCGGCATCCATATTATGGATCACTTTGGAAAACATCTTAACATCAATGCTCTCCTCAACAACCTCCCCTTCTTCAACAGAAATGGCTTCAAACTTTCTCTTATCCCCTCTATTAGTTGTTGCATCAGATAAAGAACTTGACCAGCCCCATGGTTTCCAAAAACGTGCTTTAATTGGGAAGCCTTTCCTCTGAGCAACAAATATAAGTTGTTGCCTTATCGATTTGCGTCCCAGAAGAACATCTGGACCAGCTAAAATCCACTTTGTATCCATTACCAGTGACTCTTGAAGTAATTTTCCAAGCAGGTGGACAACCTCCGAATAAAGAGGAGCAGCTTCAGGCCTGACAATTATCCGTGACAGAATAATTTCAGTAAATTTCTTTTCACTTTCAGAAAGTACAAAATTGTCAGCACTAGGAGATAAGGATCGAATTGCCTCAGCAAAGGACATGTTGTGAGTTTCAAATTTCTCTATAAGAGCTTGCTCATTCAGAAGTAGCCTCAACTCTACCCACTGCCAGTGAAACTTAGCAGGTTGCAGAGTATCTAAAACGTGCACGAGCTGATCCAATAGCTTTCCCTCAACTTCAGAATATGATCTAGGTTCAGCAGGCCCAGCAACCCATGTCCCATCTTCACGCATAACTGAAAATGCTGGCATTTTGCAATCGATTAGCGTATTCAGAAACAGCCGCGCACGAAGTGGAACAAATGCCATTGTTTTCAAATGTTTATCTGGATTATGCGATTCAAGCATTGCAGCAAACTCAGAATCGCCAGAATCAGTAGCCAGTATATCATAAAATCCATGAGTGTTTCGAAAAAATAGATCTCGAAATGGCTTGTGCCTGATTGCATCACCAATGGCCACTAAAAAACTTCGGTATAGTTGGAAATCTTCATGGTTCGCAATATTGCTATTGAAGATATATGGCCTCCATATTACCATTGCAAAAATGGAATATGCAGGAGAGAAAACTACACTGAGTGAAAGTACTCGCTGCAATCTTGAAAGAGCTACAATATATGATTCACCAAGCATCTCTGCGACAAGCCCATCAAAAACAGTTCTGCAGTTTCCAACCAGAAGCCGAAACCAATGTACATATACATCAATGCAGTGGTCCAACTTCATCGTGCCAATAGAACAGGAGATGCCATTTGAACTGGATCTTGCGCTTCGTATAAACTGCAGAACATCCAAGCCTTCTTTTAATCTAAAGGCTGTTATCATCCTATCTAGGCTACTAACTCCATGAACAATAGCACCAATAACTAGTGCAGATACAGCTGCTGCAGCTTTCGCAGTTCTTCCGACAATGAGTTTTGTAGAACTGTTCAGAAGTTCATTTGAATGATCTTGATATATATCATGTATTTCAGAAGACAATTGAAATTGATTTCGGTGGGCCTTTCCAGGAGCAAAAGCTGTTGAAATAACTGAAGAAGCTTCAGCAGCTAATGCTATCTCAAATACACGGCTCAGACGGTTGCCAAGGGCTTCTTTTAGCAGGCAGAGGGAAAATATATGAATCTGTAAGATGTGCCTAAAACAATTTAGTGAATTTAATGAGGATGAAAAGCTTTGGTAATTACTGCTTGCTGTGGAATCTGGCAGTTTTGCAATAGCTAGTCCTATGCTACCAACAATGGCAGACACAGCAGAAGCCACTACACAGGGATCTCCATCTGGAGTTGCACCACCATTTTGTCTGATACAATCCACAAGGCCCAAAACGATATCATGAGCTATTTGGTAACTATCATCCCATTTTTCAAGGGAGTGGTTTCTGGGAGTAGCAACCGCAGACAATTTTCTTTCCTTTCCATAAAAGTAGTGGACAGCACCCTCAACATGTCGCTGCACTAACTCTTTCATGTTTGTACCAGTTCTAGACATCCTAGCATTAATTTTCTGACGAATATGTTCATCAGTTTCTGTGATACCTGCTGGGACACCCGAAAAATACATAAATTCATCATCCACAGACCGTCCAGTTTCCAGTTCTGCGAGAAGCCTTTGATCACATGTAGCTCGAAACTTTTTTTCCCACCTCAACACATTTGTCACATTTTTATATTTCTTCAATAAATACCGTGCATAAGCAAAAGTAACAGCACCAGAAGGTCTTCCATTTGATGTCATCATCGTCAAACTTCGATGAACTAAAGCAGTCAAGACTTCAGGTAAGACATCTGCAGCTCGAAGCACATTCTCATACCTGAACAAGGTAAAATATTCAAAGTAAACTGAAATCAGCCACAATGTAAGTCCCAACATATCACACTGGTTTCGATTTACAAGATAATGATATACCACAAAAACAACATAACCAACCAAGTAGAACAACTTATAGAAGATGATATTATGAAAAAAAAATACTCCATGAATCGAATTATGAGAACTTCAAGGAAATTTAGCTTTAACTTAAAGATTATAATATGACTTCAACTCTTATAAGTTAATACATACCAAGCAATACAAACCCATTGACAAATTAAATCCTAAAATTCAAAACATGCAGCAAGTCTCAGATGCAGAAATTCCATCCATCAATATAATCAAACTGATAAATTCATAAACATGTGAAACCAATCGAGACCCCAACATGGGTTGCATAAGGAGAAAACAAAATTTCCTTAATATCATGACAATACAATTTCACAACATTGTTCCACATTTGAATCAGTTGGACCACACTCCACAAATGATACTGCCAAATACCAAGGCCAAGCATGATTACCAATTTGAAATCCCTAGGAAGCATCAAGTTCTGCCCATCAACCACCAGCACCACCTTAACCAGCAACTAAGCTCCCTTTTTCCCCATCTCACCAATGAATGCCTCTCAAGGAATTGACTTTGATAAACAGATAATAATCTTACAACACATTTTTTCTATTGTGCAGCAAAGTAGATCTTAAACAGTAAGTAAAACAAGGAGTAAATCTAGCATGATATGAATGATAGGAGGGTGGATAAAGATATGAGAACCCACAAGTTGACGATGGGCAAATATTAAAGCACTTCAAGGTCATTAGCCAACAGTCTTATTATAATACAGTACCTAAACAAGGTTAAAAAACTTCATTCCATTTTCATGAAATATTGTACCTACAACGAACTTAAAATACAAAATTGCTTGTTAATCTATACTCCTAATTGGAAAGAGAGTTGTGGCACCTTATTCTTTTGACAAAAATAAAAAAATTAACATAAAAAAACAAATTGCTTTTTTTAATGCACCACATTGATAATGAATTTAGCACATCCAAAGGATTAAAAGAAGCCCAGAATGGAGTTTAGCTTTTCCAGTCAACAGGATACAACTTAGCACCATCCAACCTACATTCAAAAGCTAGTAAACAAACTTATATCTCAAACTTGTAAATATGCATCAATATCTTATATTTAAATCTAGTCTACTTAAAGTAAATACTCTCATTCGCCATACACATTTTTCTCATATACCCTGATTGTCTTACCTTTTGTGAGTGTTTCCTTAAGAATTAAATCAGAAAAAAAACATATGAAAGAGGCTGTATTCGGAGCATTTATCTTGGAAAGAGACAGAGTGATCACAAAACATGCAAAATTATAATACAAATTGAAAATAGAGGGTCTCTTATAAGTCAGATCAAAAGGAAAAGCACCAGCAATGAGAAAAAGTCATCAATAGATCTTAGTCATCAATAAACTAGATCTGATAAGATCCAACTGACAAGAACCAGATAAGCCAGGCTAATACATTTGTAAAAAATAAAGGCAATAACAGAAAAAGAATAACGAACAGAAGTCAACAATATATTTCTCCTGATCAGGATATTCCACCAAGGGCATATTGGTATTGAAAAAATATTCAGGCAACAGTAAAATAACTAACAAACCCAAGTACCTTTGAAGGGAAGACAAGAGAAATGCTTCGCCCACCTGGCATACTTGGTCTCTGTTTTTAGGCAACATGGAATTCCTTACACCCTGCACAAGAGTCCTTGAGCCACAAAGTACTTTCGGTAACAACCATATCAGGAACTTTACTGCAGACAGTAAGTCACCAGAAATATCCAAAATATAAAGAATGGATAAGAGTTCATCTTCACCTATCCTCCATCTTACAGTGTTTCTATCATCGGGCACAGGAGCAGAATAAACATCAGTAAAATTGCTTGCTTTGGAAGGCGTTCTTTCATTTCCTCCAACAAGTTGCCTAATGGATTTGAGCAACCAAATTGAGATTGATCTCCTCTCGAGCAATCTTAGCTGCTTCAAGGCCTTACCAATATCACTTCGGCGTCCTGATATCATATGGTTGACATCTTTTGGAACCTCACCTTCAGTGACAGATCTGTGGTGGGGACAGCTCACTTTGTTGTCACATACATGGCTAGTAGATGCCCCCAGGCTACTGTCAATCCTTGTAGCTGCTAGCTGTGCTAGAGATTGTGTTTTACGCACAATCTTTTGCCTACCCCTTGAGGTTTGTTTAGTTAACTTAGATGGTAGTTCAACCTTCAAGGACTCCTGGAACTTAGGTCCCTTCTTTGCCCACCAATTGTCTTCATCATCTGAATGATTAAAAGAAAACCCTTGTAGGGCAGAGCTCCTATCATCAATTAGCTTTTTCCTCTTTCTTTTTCTAAATTCCTCGCAGCCAGATGTCCCTTCTGTCAAATCAACTTTGCTCTCTAAAGAGTCTAATGTGCTTTTTAAAATGCCTTGGGATTCATCTGCAGAAGTTTCTATTGGCATGGAAAACGGGTGAGGAAAATGCAGAAAACATGAAAGTAAAGCCTTCATTTCTGTTACTTGGCCCTTCACCTTCCCATGATTGTCATCTCCTAAAGAAGATGAGTGATCTGTATCTTTTTGCAAAGAAAAGATTGAACAAATATCACCTCTAGAATTTAAATGATTGGATTTACTGCTCAAGAATCCACGAAGCAATAGTTGACGCTCACTTGAGTAAGCATGAACAATTTCATGTAACAAGGGGACTTCTGCAATTCTTGCTTCTTCTAAAAGATCAAACAAACAGGATCCAGGCAGCTGCTGCAGAATTCTTCGGTGTCTTCTTTGCCTTTGTAGATCTAACGAGTTTTCATTCTTATCCATAATTCCACTAACAATAAGCTGTCTTACATAAGCCGGTGGATAAAATATGCCGTTACTAATTAGTTCCAAAAGGAAAATTTCAACACCCCTGAAACTTCCCGCTTTCCCTATCTCATGCTGGTCTAGCCAACACACAATAACATCATGCAGCAGACCAGGACTCCGAAAGATGTCTCTTCTGCTCTTCCTATAATATATACTACTTAAATTATTTCTAAGAACAAATGCATTTTCCACCGCTGTTCCATCCAACAAACTATCATTATCAGAGGTAGTTTTTCCGTTTGTACCAAGCGCCATAACATTTCCATCCCTAGACTGTGCAAAGTTATATAAATCTTCCATCTTAAGCTTTAGAAGCAATACTGCAAAATATATTTGTGAAAAATCATTCCTTCCAGTCAATTTCAGGTTATGAGGCATGGAAGTACGGAAATCCCGATAATTACATGTGGCCCACTCGCAGAGAAAAAATATAGAGCAAATAACAGATGAACCAATGGTCCCAATCCACTTCAACGAAGATCTCAAACAAGGACTGACTTCTTCTAGCCACCTTTCTTCGATAGCCACATCAGACAAGTATTCAAAAAGAGAATTATAAGCAAGTATTACATCTCCTGTCATTAGGGCTTTATCCAAGGCTTGTAGAACCTCAGCAGCACCATGAGCTTGAAGGATAGGGTTCACATTTTTTGACAGATTAGAAGCACGTTCCTGAATAGAGGAAGTGACATACCCACACGACAAGTAACGAAGATAAGCATCTTCTGTATCAAACTGCACATTATCGGCAGAGTCATGTAACTTCAGGAATGCATTTCTGCAGCGTAGATCAGGAACAACACAGGATGGCAGAGGGAAGCAATCCAAGGCAACAAATGTATCAGGTACAACAATTACCAAGTATCGCACGATCTCAACCATAGCATCCACAAGGAATGACTTTTGTGAAGTGTCCACTGAACTTGAACAACTGGAAGATAGATCATGTATTCTTCGAACAAAGAGTTCCACAAACATACGTATGTATGTCTGTGAGAGTGCAATGCTCTCAATCACATCAAACAGAACAGGAAATAGCAACTCTAAGACCTCTGGTGATTCCTTCTCCTGAATGGAATAGATTAGACAAGCATTAAATACTACAAGGATCCATCAGAAGCATTTGAACTTCTACAAGATCTATTATAGTTCCAGTTTTCAGCCCAAACAAGAGTTGAATTACCTGAATTTGATTGTAGACTAACTCAATAATAGGAGAGGGAAGAAGCAAGCCTTCTGCAAGATGCCACTGTACAAGGCGGAGCATATACCACCACTTGAAGTGCAGTGAAGGCTCCTCGGCATCAGGAGAAGAGAATGATTCATTTTTCTGTGGAGCACGATAAGACATGGCCATAGTATTTTGTGATGACTGATTTCTAACAGGTGTAGGCACATTAGAACCATCTTTTGGGAAAATTTCATCCAAGAGTTGCTGTAGGTACTCGACAACATCTTTAGACCACAGGTCAGATCGAGCAAACTGTGCTTTATCTGGAGTCCCTGATGAAACACTGGAAGAGGCCAGTCGAACCTATAAAGACCAAGAACTAAATAAATGGATACATGCATATTTAAGTTGAAAAATAGAATTGCTGCAAAGTAACCCATATATATGATTTAACATAGTTTTCAACCTGGTTAAGATAGGTAACTTTTATAAACCATGTCGCCCTCAATAATGGAACATTATAACGAATAAGAACTTCGAAAAGAGCTTTCCGCCTATAACCATGTGGAACATGTTCAGCTAATGAGTGCAATCGTTTATGCTGTTGTGATAAAGCCTGCTCAGAAAACATGGGAAGTCAGCATGTTCACAACTCATAAATGTCTATAATGCAGAGCAAGTAGATGATCAACAGTATTGGAAAATTGCAAAATGAGATGTAATTAGTAACCAGAATAAGAGTAAGCACAAAATGGCAACTCCAAAAGATGCCACCGCTTGAAAAATAGATGGAAAAGAAAAACAAAAATATCATATGCTTAGCATAAGGTATATTTAAAAAAAGAATGAACTGGGAAAACAGACTCAATTTAACAAAAGATCTTGTTTCGTTGCCAAAATGCAAGAAAACAGAAGAATTAATTATCAGTTGTTGCTAAAACTACAAGGAAGATCTATGTATGTAGAGATGTCTACAAATATGTCATCAGAACAAACGACCTAAATTAGACTTTCTGATACCAAAATCTAAAACCATGATGAAATAATAAGTTACAAGAAATAATTTAAAAGAAAAGGCCCAAGTTTCAACAAAATCTATATTGTAATAATGAAAATAGGGTCTCAGCAAAAATGATCATAAACCTCAATCCACTTCCTGCGGCTGTCCTCATTAGATGCCCTTTGCTCAGGAAAGGCACCAGCTTTTGTTACTAATGGCCCGGAAAGAGGCACTCCATAAACCTGTCCAGCCTGTTGTAAGATTAGAAAATAAAGAATCACTTTAACAGTGTAATGCAGAATACAGATTATACTCCAAGTTACATAAATATAACTATAGACTTTATATTGTATCATGTGACAAAATATAAGTAATTACCTTACGCTTTAGAGCACGAGATTCATTGATAGCCCTCAGTCGCTTCCGTAATGCCTGCAAAACAAGAGCAATAGACATGCTAGTTTAAGATGTATCTTTGACCAAGCACAGGTCACTATTAGCATATATAACTACTGAGATAACAGACATATTTAAAGCACCCGTCGGGTCAACGTAAGGCAGAAATCTCCACTAAAAACATGATTTTATGTTTCTGACACCATGATCCAAGTCAGACCATAGGTCCCATTGAAATGAGGAACCACAGTCAAAACTTGCCATATTTATCATAACATTGCAAAAAATAAAATTTACTTTTCTTTTCTGATTTAGAATCCTTCTTGAAACTGCACTATATAGAGGTTACTCTAACAAATATTATAAAGTAGGTAAACTTTACAAAAATTTAACAGAAGACTGTTTCCCACTTCATCCTTTTTTTAAGTCACTACAACCACATAACTCTATTTTCTATCTTCTGTAAACTTTGCAGATAGCAATCTTGCACAATTACTAGGAAGTGATCATTGGAAAGACGACCTGTCAATTTCAAAGCCAGAAGATGGAAAAAAAATAGAAGGTTTCCATATGAGCACCAAAATTTTTTTTGCTATACAAGTCTCTCAATCATTTATTGATCTTATTTCTCAATTTTTTTTTTACATAAATGGTTCCAAGCCCTTCTTTGAGTATTAGTCATGTCTTTGTGGATTACGAATAAGATTCTTTTACATTTTTTACAAGTCTATAGCATTAAAAACACTCTGAAGTATGATCATTCTAAAAACATCGAAGTCCCTTCAAATGCGCTGAGGGTATATTTTGTATGTTCTCTTATCACATTAATTACATTTTACAAGATATCAGTTTACGTTACTTTTCTGAAAAGTCACTCAATATTTATCACCTAAATTATATTTCCTTTTGCTAGTGGTCCCCTAAAAATTTTTTGTTATTTGCATATATGTCACGCAAGATACCTTTGAGGTATTCAGACAAAAAAAAAACAAAAAGCAAACTTGGCATCACAGCAAAGTTGCTCTTTTGTGTGAACCATGATCAAGTCATAGAAACTGCCTTTGCTTGTAAGAAAATGTTTATACTAATCCTTCCAAAATCACTGTGCGGCCTTCACTAGTTCATCAGACAACATGACTGTCTTTGCATATTATGTGATATTATGACCCTCAACTTTTGCATATTAGTTCTTCAAAAATATACAATGTGGGTCTTAAGAGCGACCATATTCTTCTTTCGGTATTTTTATATATTAGACCCTTAATATCTTTATTTACAAATAAGTTCCTCATCTTGTTTATACACACTTCTATGAAATTGCTAACATATTCTTTATCAGTGTACAATTCCTTTAATGCTAACTACTTACATAGTAACAGATCATAGGTTCTTCCCCAATATTTGGTAATGTATATTCCATTAAAAATTAAGAAAAACATCTTTTTACTACAGTAAAGTTCATTGTTCCTGAATACCCTAAAAAAGTAATAAAAATATGAATACACAAAAAAAAAAGTGTTTTCAACAGTTGGTATGTCCTCCTCGTTATTTTAATTATAGATAAGTTTAAGCACAATATTCCTTAAATTATGTACCTCACTGATAACACAATTATGACAGTAGCATTAAGCCATTAACCATGAAACCCAATTTCAAATTTTCCAGTGGTCTCATTAAATTCCATAAAAAAATTGTCCATGCAACACCAAACATATATCCCCAGTATCTCTTTTATTTCGATATTAGTATTTCTGCATGCACATGCCCTCTAGTATATATTTGTGCCAAACATACATATACACAAGTCTAGGTTTGTGATATATAGATGAAACTTGTATGAACATGCATACGTTTAGGTATAGATGTGCATAAGAGAAAGAAAAATAGTTGCTATATCTAGCACACAAGTTGCTGCACATCCACTAATATAACACATTTTCTAGTGAGTCACTAATATCAGCAACTCGTGACTTATATGCATACATTATCAATGTTCCCAAAATATTAAGTATGTATTCTTGAATGGAAGTAGTAATCTTGGACATACAGAACTGCTACATGTACAACTCTAATATAAATACACAAATAGCACCACAGTTCGACATTTCAAAATCCAAAAGTTTTTCACGTTGCTACTTCCGTATATCCACAAACACACAAGTGAGAGAAAAAATTCTGAATCTGTCATGGCCAGTTAGAATCAAGCTGAAGAAATTACACAAGCTTCAAAAGCCTTCCAATTATCAGCCCTCACCCTTAATGATAAAATATGTTGGTTAGCAAGGCACATCTGCTACATAACCTCAGAGCCACCAGAGACCTCCTTGAAGACATTGGTGACCAAAAAATCTAACCATCGACTTTTTTTCATTGACCTCTCTTCTATAAACTCCATTCAACTTCCAAGGCACCAAATAACTACCAGAAGATATTAGAAACCGAGAAACAATGCATCCTTTTTCTTTCCTCTCCTCCATAACCTCTATTTTGTAACCTCAAAGCAACCAAAGACCTACTGGAAGACACTGACTTGGTAGTCTAAGAATCTAAGCCTTTATTTTCTTTCCTCCCCTATCTTTTTTTTAACACCTCTTCCTATTTTGTGCATCTAGCCAGTGACGCGCATAGCATAACATGTGCAGACAGTGCACACTATCTCAGAGGGCAGCAATTTAATTCTTTTCTAAAAAACCGTGTACAAGTGAACCAACACTGAAATTAATCCAAGCCAGAACAACATATACAATATCTCTTCATAACTTTCAAATATTTTAATTGGTCCAAAAGTAGTGATCTAAGGCTACATAGTCAAGTTATGAGAAAAAGTTTCTTGGTATTTTGGACCCAGAAATAAAGTGGCCTGTACAACCCTTCAACTGCCCTTCAACCCTTAAAATTAGGACATAACATCATATATTCTTTGAGCTATAGTTATTAAGGATGGTATCGGAAGTTAATTCATCAAAGGGTTGGAGTTAGGAAGAATATCTGACTAAATTCTGAGTGTTCTATCAAGTTTTAGATGAAGTGGTTGTATATATCATCCTCAGACAAGTCCACCTAAAGGAATATAAACTCATACGAAATTTCAAGAGGCAGGAATCCAAAGATGAGTTATCTATAGATATGCTACTTTTTCTTTCCAAAATAGATGTGTTACTTCAATGGAAATGAGCCAAGAATGATTTTTGCTAAGGCTACTGATCTACAAGCCTGGTATCAGTCATCATAACAATAACAAGCATCATAAGTCAAAACTATATCAAATAATTAAATCTGACCTCTTTGTACTTCACAATGTACTCGGGTTTTGAGAAACTTGAACCTTGACACAATGCAATTTCACGGGCTTCCTGAAACAATAGAAGATACAAAATGTTAGCCTGAGAAATAGTTAGAGTGATGTATTATGAATAAGGATTAAAAAATCAATAGAAGCAGGAAATTTTTTGTCAAAGTAAATCCAAAATCTAAAACGATAATGACATTGAAAATGAATTTATATCTTAAATATGAATTGAAGGGCAAAAACACTAATTAAAACAGAGAAAAAAATTTGAAATAATATCTCCTAGTTTAATTATTTCTTAGCACTGCTTATTTAAATGAAAAAAACTGGCTAAAGATCTCTCTATTTGTGCACCAAGGTAAACCTAATATTTCTGTTGAAACAAATCACGTATATTGTACATTTACATGCCACTCTCTATGCCATTTCATGAATATTATAGAATAAGATTGGAAAGGATCTCTTATATACAAGAATACTAATAGAAATCAGAAAAGATAACAAACAGATTGTTGGTCAAAACTAGCCATGTAGGTATCTATAATAAAGGAATGCAAAGTCAAATGAACACCATGTTCGAGCCAGCCTTATTGCTGGTTTGTTTTGGCTTGTTCCACTTTGTTTAATCACATAAATGCAAAAACTAATCATACACTGATCTCATGGTAGCAAGGCTATTTATGCTAGAGTCTAGAAAGGCACATTATAGCTAGTAGCTACCTTCTCCCCGTCAGTATTTAGTCCGGAACAAGGATTTATTTTCCAAGTCAAAATAGTAACAACACACTGGTACAGTATGACAGCAGGTCCATGAAAACTACTACATGCTCTGTGCCTTTACAGGTGTCTTCATGCATCACTGGTACGTGAATGATCATCTAGCACAATATATGGCTGGTGGCACATCCAACATGTGCTTCTTAGTCCTAGATCCACACTTTTGAGAGAAATATAAAATTTCCATGTAACAAAATAAAGCACTTTTAATGATTTGGTCAAAAGATCCACTGGGTGTAAAAGTAGGAAACATAAAAACTATGCTGTCTAATTTACTTTCTTTTAATTGAAAGGCATATTTTTACCAACAAAGTAAGACTACATAGCAGTGTATATACCACAACCCTAGAAGATAAAGCATGTAAGATCTGTTCAAATTAAAATTCTGCCAGAAAAGGTAACAAATACCTCTGAAACAATTTCATCCTCACATAATCAGAAATCTATAAACGGTTTTATGGTCATACTTAGAAATTTCAAAACCTAATTGGCCAATGCGTATATCTCAAATTCAGATTAAACCATATGAAACAGACAGAATAAAAAGCATCCAAGGATATCTCTTTTGTCTAATACTAGCTTTTGTATTCAAACAACAAACAGGTCTACCTTGCTTTTGAAATAACAAAGAAAAGGGTCACCCCTCTACGGATTCATTTCATGAACAAATTAGAGCAAAACAAGTATATAAAAGAAAAAACCAGACAACCTTTCCCACACCATTTCTCAATCACCTTATAGTTCACATCAAACAGCATAAAGGTCCCAAAAATAATTGAATTGGTTCAGTACATTTATGGTTCAACACTGAGCAAACAACTTTCTCTGTGATAGTTCTAAAAAAAATAATATTGGAGCAAAATGTAAGGTGACAAAGAAAACACACCTCGATTCCTTCAATAGTCTCCTTATATCCAGTCTGTAGATATTCTCTAGTTAGTGTCTCTTCAGGACAGTTTGGGGTCTGAGGGTAGAAGTCAGGGGGCCCAAGTCTAGAAAATGTAAGATAGTATAAGGATATGACAGCAGCAATACCTTATAAGATATCAAGACATCAGGGATAATAGTAACACGCAGAGTTGCCTAGAAAAAATTAGCTTTCTTTCAGTGTGTAGCAGCTAAGCAGCCAAATAATAGTAAGACTTTGTACAAAGCTAACATGAAGGATAAGGATAGAGGACAAATCAAGCAAATGTGCAAAAATAAATTACTTTTTTTATTCTATTTCAAACCATATGATAAAATATAACTTAAATCAAGCATTAGACTACCCCAACATGCAAATAATTTTGACTTGAGTTGAAAAGTACAATGTTTACCTGCAATTAAGAGGTTCTTTATCACACTTTATCTTGTAAGGTGCTAGCTGGGACTGCCTCCTGAAAAATCAAAATTGAAGAAATGATAAAACTAGCATAAATAAAACCTATAGGTAACAAGTAAAACAGAGTAGGTTTTCTTTTTCCATGGAAAACAAAGCACCTAACAGGGAACACAATAGACAGCAATCACCTCAGATTCAAAGAAAAGTTGGGTGCTGAAAAAGATGACTCAACCCTGGCGCTGTCTCTTGAAGATGCCCCATTAACAGCATTGTTACTGACTCCATTACCACAGCTAACAGCAGAATGTCGCTGCATTTGTCTTAACAATTCCCAGCATCCTGCATCCAATATCACTGCTGATATGAAAGATGCATACCACAACCCAGTTTAGACTGCTTTCTTAGCCAATATAAATCCATAAAAAACAAGTTGGATGCTGTTATATTGTACCAAAACAGATTCTGAATTGTGTTACATTATCTTAGACTGGCACTCCATTGACTAGGATAACATTTAGTGAATCCATACTCCCAATTTTACAGTGTCCTCAGTCAATGTCAACTAGGGTACTAGTAGACTCTCTCCAAAATAATTGAGAAGAAATTCACTTTCAAGATGCTTCTTGTCAGTTTTTGTCAATGAAATCACAGCAGGGCACACTCTGCTTATGCTGGATTTATAACAGATCACAGCTTGACCACTTCACCTTTCTTCCATTCCAAGTAAAGAAGTATGACCAATGATGAGCAAACTACAGAAGTAAAAATTCACCACAGTGAAGGAAGCCACCAATCTCTATATAACTACCATCAAAAGTATCCAAGCTACCAAATACAACCACAGTCGTTAAATGTGGCAACGAAGAGAACTTCTCCTTGTGAAAAAGGTGAAGTTCTCTGCAGATCACACCAATATAAGTCAATCAACTGTTCATTTGATATATGCAGTAGTCACATATCCAAAAGTTTTCTAGTGGAGTTCCATCTTCAGCTGAAATGTAAGCTCCTGATCATCGGAATAACACTTAGAACTACCCTACCCTTCGAGCGAAAAAATATATAAGAATATTGATCACCTCCGTCCAAGTTCAACAAAGGAAACGGAGCTAACTTCACTATGAGGAAAAAGAAAAACAGGACCCAAAAAAAACAAGCCAAAAAAATCTTAGAAAAATCAAGAATCAAAAGAACAACTGCCCAATCCACCCAAAAAAGAAGCAAAAATTATGGACCATTTCATCAAAACCACACTGATTCATCCAAATGCGGATACCAGATCCGCAATTCCCCTCCAGAACCGCCGAAATTAAAGCCCGAAAAGGGTTTAAGCCCTCCACAGCCTTCCCTGAAAAAAAAACCACAAGAATAAAGGAAAGCAAGAAAAGCTCACCCGATCCAGAACCACGGAGCTACGGTTCCAAGGCGCCCTCTCTTCAAAGTTCAAAGCACCCCAAAATCCAAAGCTAGGGTTTCGTCCGCGAATCTCCGAAACCCTAGAAAAGCGGCAAACCAACAATTACAAAGAAACCCTAAGAATTAGAAGAAGCATACGGCGAAAGCTAGGTCGGGAGCGCGAGGGGACGAACCTGGAGTAGGAAACAGCGGAAGAGATGATGGAGAGAGAGGAGGAGCCTGAGCCTTTGACTCTTTTTCTCGCTGCTGATGATGACGAAGTGGCATTAGAGAGATAGAGAGAGAGAGAGAGAGATAGAGAGAGGATCTATTAATGTGCGTGTGGGTATCTGCCACTATGCTTATTATATGATTATGGGGCCCAATAATTAGTGTGGGTGTGTGGGTGTGTCATCGTGTAACCGGTTGTTGGGACCGTTGGAGTTCCCCTGGCGAGTTGAGGAAGAGAATGGAAGGAATCTGGGATTTAATTGACAAATAATTAACTAAAAATACATTTAATTTATTTAGGGTAAATAATTATGATAACTTTTTAGAATTATCTACTTAAATACCCAAAACCATTGAACCTTCGATCTATATAAATTGAACCGATTCAACTTTCATCAACTTAGATTTCAAATTTTCTAAGGTAATCAAATAATAGAAAAACTAATATAATGATTATGTATATTATATTCCTTCAGGCGTGAAATTTGGGTTACTCGGACAAACTTCATAACATTACACTTGTAAATGAATAGTGTTATACTGGTGTTGATACACAGACACCATGCAAGTTATTTATGATGACTTCTCCTTGTCGACGAGGGAGCTAATATGGTTTGTCGTGATGACTTCTTATGGGAGAGGTGGTTTGTTGATATGGTCGGTCGATGTAGAGAGCCTGATGGGAGAGGTGGTTTGTTGGAAGTAACCTGATTTTGATATAGTCGTGATGACTTCTTCTTACCTGATGGGAGTTGATATGGTCGGTCGATGTAGAGAGCCTGATGGGAGAGGTGGTTTGTTGGAAGTAACCTGATTTTGATATAGTGAAGTTGAGTAAGAGAGCTGGATTCTTCTAGTTGTTGAGTCACCTCCTGGCCACGTCTCTAGACGATGTCGAGGGTCCTGCACAACTGGACTGCATCAAGGGTGTCTTGGCTCGACCCATTCGATGTTTAAGTTAGCGAAAGATGAAGAGGGAGAAAGACAATAGTATGAGTTGTGTAAATGAGAGAATAAATGGTTTTTGCCTGCCTCTCCCTTTTGTCTTGGTTTGGGGCTTAACTTTTATACTTATGTATCAAGCGGTCTAGACGTGTGTTAACCAAACCCCCCTTTACCCTCTATGGTAGAGGCATTAATAATGGTAACTTGCTGGCGTGTATCCTTTGACACCTTGAGCGGATCATTGGGGCGCCTTTGAGCTGACTCCCTTGCCACTTTAGGTTAGGCAAGGAGTGGTCCCTCCATCCGTTATCCGGAAGAGAAGATTGGTGAAGTCAGGTCATGTTGTCAATCATTAATACATATGCATGGCTTGTGTTAAGATGTCAGCCAAGAGATGGCTGGGGAAGCTGAGGCATACGGTCAATCATTAATACGAGATATGATTTCTTCAATTGCAGTATCAAAGAGTGGGTCTTGCATCATTGTTTATTTATGCTAGACACTGCTTCACATATCATGAATGTAAGTATGTCCAAAAAGAAACTAGATGAGGTGAACAATGCATATCTGTGGCATTGTAGGCTATGTCATATCCATAAGGAAAAGATTCAAAAGTTGCTAAAGGACGGATACCTAGATCCATTCGACTATGAATCATATACAACTTGTTAGCCTTGCCTTTGTGGAAAATTGACAAACTCTTCATTTAGTGGAACTGGAGAGAGTATCACTGAGTTGTTGATACTCATACATAGTGATGTATATGATTCGATGTCAACTCATACCATAAATGGTTACTCTTACTTTATTACTTTTACTAATAATTTTTTAATGTATGGGCATGTGTACTTGATGAAGTATAAGTTTGATACCTTTAAGAAATTCAAGGAGTATAAAAATGAAGTGAAGAACCAAATTGGAAAGAGTATCAAGACTCTTCGATCATATTAGGGATGTGGATACTTGAGTATAGAGTTTACCCAATTCCTTAAGAACTATGAAATTTCATCACAATTGATGCCTCCTTATATATCTCAGCTTAATGGTGTATCTAAATAGAGGAATCACACACTATTAGACATAGTGCGGTCTATGATGAGTTTCACTGACCTACTCATCTCATTATGAGGATATGCCTTAGAGATCGTAGCTTACTTTCTGAACAGAATTTCAACTAAGTTGATAATGTCTACTCCATATGAGATATGGAAATGGAAGAAGCCTAATCTGAACAGAATCACACACTGTTAGACATATATATATATATATATATATATATATATATATATATATATATATATATATTATGATGTTCATAGATCATGATGAGAGTACGATAATGAGACTGATTCACCTTTAAACATAAATCCTAAATAATCCTAGTCATATATTACTTAAAAGAGATATCAAGATAACCAGACAGACTGATGTATTTTATACTCGTTCATATGATAGAGGCAACTGGTCTCATAGCTACTTGTGTGGGGACACTATAGCTATAGTGTAGGTGCTTATTGGAGATGAGTTTTTCGATTGATCCGCTCACGGAATGCTGGATGATTGATGATACCTCATTGTCAGATAGTGATTTTGTCATTATAGTGGTGTACTTAGTCCTTAGACTTGAGACACCAAGGATGTCCTATATGAGTATTCCACTCTTTGATATCTGAAGTATATGTTTAGAAGTTCCAGATCTAGTACAGTCAGTCATGGGAGTGGCAACCAACCTTACAAGGGTTATTGAGTGTCGTCGATAAAGGATCATCTACTCTCGGTATCATTAGAGGAATATCTCTTGTGTTCTTGCTTAGACAAATCCTTGGCCAATGTCATTCGGATTGAGAGAAAAGAGTTCTCCAAGAGAATCTGATTAGAGTGAGGCTCGAGAAGAAACCATATGGGCCTGACAGTACCATACTCAGTCTACGATCTTTAAGATATTAGATGGATGAGAGATTATATGTACATGGTAACTGAGGATAGATATGTATAAAGGATTGGATTCCCTTATATTATTTGAGGACTATGACATAGTGGCAAAGTACGTCCATGGTCGATGAGTCGAGTGAATTATTATGAATATAATAATTTACTAAGCCAAAAGTACTTATAATATGGATGACTCACGGCCAGCTCGATATTGGGCCTAAAGGGTCACACATATGGTAGGTGTTACGACGAGTAGAAGTTCAGATATGAGATGTTCGTCAAAACCTATATCTTATTGGATATACATTAAGCCCATGAATTATTGAATTATATGGATGAGATCTAATAAGAGTCAATGAGAGATTATTGGATAGAGATCCACTAATATAAGAGGCTTAGGTAGTTGGAAGAAGATTCAATACCCAATATTGTAGGATCTATTATGGTTAAGTTAATAGAGGGCCTCTATAAATAGGAGAGAACCAAAGGGTCATAAGCTAGGCTTTTTGGCTGCCACCTCCTATTTTCCTCTCCCCTTCTCCTCCTCCTTAACCAATAGGTGTGGAGATTTGGGCAAGGATTCAAGGAGCATCTTCGAAGCCCTTACTGTATAGGTCACCGCTAAAGAGGAGAGCCTTGACCTCTTTTATCCTCTCACACAGATCTGTAGAAATTCAGGGATATATGATCTTCCTAGGTAACATAACTATCTCAGACGTGGTTTTCAATTTCGTAAATTTTTACACACCAATCTTCATACAACGATGAACACCTTTTGAAAAATTTATGATTTTATTTTATGTTCTTCCGATGTACATGTGATGTAATCTCTAGATTTCCTTATAATAGATGTCTCATCTTTTTACTATTGGGAAACCTTGGGGAGCATTACATACACATCGAAAAAATAAAATAAAATAGATTTCCCAAAATAACAATATCTAATCTTCGTACGACGATTGAGAGCGAAAAACTCATAAAAATCGAAAAATGCATAAGATGAAGTGGCAATCTCGTGCTCTCCTTTATAGCGGTGATCCATACAGCAGATGAAGCGATAACGCACCTCCTTTTGCAGCACATGCTTTTCCTCACTTTTGCGTACCACAAGGCAGTAGTAATTCAAGAAGGGATCAACCCTTCTTGCTATCCTCACACCCCAAATAGGGTTGATGGCAAAGAAGGAAAGGGAGGGAGGAGAATAGGAGGTGAGCGGCCAAAGGAGTCTAGTCCATGATCCTTTAACCCCTCATATGATGGATGCAACTGGTCTCATAGCTGCTCGCATGTGGACACTAGGGATATAGTACATGTGCTCATTGGAGAATAAGTTTACTGATTAATCCACTTACGAAATGCTGGATGGTTGATGATACCTTATTGTCATACAGCGATTTTGTAGTCTCAGTGGTGTATATGGTCCTTAGACTTGAGATACTAAGGATCTCCTATATAAGTGCTTCATTCTTTGATACTAGACTTATAGGTTTGGATGTCTCAGATCTAGTACAACCGACCATTGAGAGTGGCAATCGACTTTACGAGGGCTATTGAGTGTCGATAGAGGATCATCCACTCTCGGTGTCATGAGAGGAATATCTCATGTGTGTCTTCTTCAGACAAATTCTCGGGCATGGTCATTCGGATTGAGAGAGAAAGAGTTCTCCGGGAGAATCCGATTAAAGCGAGACTCGAGTAGAAACCATATGGGTCTTACAGCACCATACCCGGTATATGATCTCTAGGATATTATATGGATGAGGGACTATAGATATATGATAACTGAGGACAAATAGGTCCAATGGATTGGATTCCCTTGTATCGTCTATGGACTACGGTGTAGTGGCCTAGTACATCCGTAGTCGATGAGTCGAGTAAATTATTATGAAGATAATAATTCACTAAGCCAAAAGGAGTTCTGACATGTATAACTCACGACCAACTCGATATTGGGCCTAAAGGGTTACACACATATGATAGACACTACAATGAGTATAGGTACGGATATGAGATATCCGCCGGAGCCCCTATCTTATTGGATATCCAATAAGCCCCTGCATTATTGGATTCTATGGATGAGATATAATAAGAGCTCATGAGAGATTATTGGATAGAGATCTACTAATCTAAGAGGCTTGGGTAGTTGGATGCAGATCCAATACCCAATAGGAGAAGATCCATTAGGGTTTGACAGGGGA